TTTAGATGGTTGTGAGCCACCATGTGGTTGCTGGGAATTGAACTCAGGACCTTTGGAAGAGCAGGCAATGCTCTTAACCGCTGAGCCATCTCTCCAGTCCCACACACCTTTATTTTTAAGGTTTATTTTTACTTTATGTGAAGTTGTGTTTTGCCTGCATTTATGTCTATGGGAGGGTGCCAGATTCCCTCCCTGGAACTGGAGTTACAGACAGTAACGCCATGTGGGTGCTCGGAATCAAACCCAGGTCCTCTGGAAGAGCCCAGGTCCTCTGGGGAAGCAGCCAGGGCTCTTAACCTCTGAGCCAGCTCTCCAGTCTTCACACCTGGGTTTTAATTATTGTGCTGGCCGTCAGAGCTCAGGTCTTCGTGCTCGTTCTACCGCAGTTCACCAACAGAGTTACCATCCCCACCCCTGGTGCACAGTTCTGGTTGACCCCAGCCAGCTCAACTGTGAAGGAGGCTGTGGTGGAAGGTGTCGGGGATCAAACCCACAGCCTGCGACTGAACTGTGCCTAACCCTTCCTTCCTTGTATGCATCTGCTTCCTTTCGCGTGTTTGTTTTTGTGGTGCCGAGGACTTTGAACATATTAGGCAAATAGTCTACCACAGTTACGTCTTTGGCCCTACTTCATTTCATTTTTCTAGTTGTTGGTTTACCCACCACCACCACCAGTCTTTCTTTGAAGCCTAGGCTGGCCTCAGACTTGAGGCAATCCTCCAGCCTCAGCCTCCACTGGGATCATTTATTGTTAAAATTGTAGGCTACATCAGTGGTGTACATTTATAATGCCAGCATTCTGGAGACTGAGTTGGGACGATCTCAAGTTTGAGGCCGTCCTGGTCTATGTAGGGTTAAAACCATTTTTTACTACTTATCTTATTACTATCATTAAAATTATTAAAACAATTTTAAAGTGAAAAATTTAACAAATAAATAAAAGTTGCCCGTTACTGCTCTCTCTTCTGGTCGGACTGTAACTTTTCTTTTCCGAGCCAGTCAGTTTGTTTGGGCTGCTTACGGGAGTATGGGTGAGAGGTTATTTAATCAGTCTGCATTGGGGCACACAGTTTGCTTCCTTGGCTGTTCCTAGGTTACCTGGAAGCCAGCCTATTTTCAAAAGAGTCTGTTTAAAAACGGGTGATACTCAAACTAGGCTTTAGAATAAACTGGGTAAAATTCAAGGCCTCTACAAGGAAAATCCTAACCAAAGTTTAATTGACAAGCACTTTTTTCCAACTTGGGCTCCAAGGGTACAGCAGTCTAGATTAAGTCATTAAGACTCTGAAAGGAGCATGTCTGACTTTGTTCTAGGTCTTCCCCAGTGACTGTATGTGTAAAATATAAATCGGCTTGTCTGAGGAGTTTATTAGGGGCAGCTGTACCCCCCACCCCACCCTCCTGTGTCAACAAGCGGTACTTCCCTGCCCCTTTCCGGGGTGTCCGGGAAGAATGATGAATGAACACATAGTGGGTTGTGCTTTGCAAACACCCCTGGTTTTGCTGTGGAGGATCACCCAGGGCGTGGAGCATGTTAGGCAAAGGCTCACCCAATGAGCTCCACCCTCAGCACAGCCCCTCATTTATAGAAACAAAGTGGCCACTTAGCTTTGGGACTCAGAACCCCCAGGACAGCTGTTCTAATGGGTATTGTGGGCAACACCCCAGTCCTGCTTTTTCTGTCTGGTCAGTTCACTGAAGACAGAGATTGAGCCCTGGAGCCCACCCTGTACTGATCCTTGGAACCCTTGGGTACCTGGAGTAAGTCGGCCCTGTTCAGGGCACTGGCTGCCACCTTCAGGAGGACTTCACCCTCTCCTGGGCTCGGCTTGGCCACCTCCTTGAGGTAGAGGTTTTCTGGTCCACCTGGCTGGTCAAAGTATACTGCCAGCATGCTGTATGGGTACACTGGGTGGACAGCAGACAGAAAGCCCAGGCTCTGAAGGGAAGAGGGGCAGGGACACCTGTTAGCATTCAAGAGTCTGCCCTGGCCTGCCCTTGAGGTCCTGACAGGATCCGTCCTCAGCTGCAGCCACTGAGAACAGCTCCTGTGCACGCTTGTTACTTCCCCTTTTAAAGGGTGGGCCTGCTTCCTTCCTTTCCATCTCTCCTCAGGGGAGGTAGCTGCTGCTGTGGCTCCTCCCTCCACCCCACCCCTCTCTCCCTCTGCCTCCCTCTCCCCTTTCCCCTTCCCTTCCATAACCCACTAAATAAATACCCACTTTCTCTGCAAAAAAAAAAGGGGGGGTTGCCATCTCTTTCTCTCTCTTTCTCTTTCTCCACGCCCCCTCTCTCCCTCTCTCGTTTTCTCTTCCACCACTCTTGTCACCAGGGACCAGTCTCCACCCCCCACTCTCTGCCCTCTACTCTGCCCCTTCTCTCTCCTCTTCCAATAAACCTATATGAACCTTGTTGCCTGATATGACTTCTCTATGCAGCACTTTTTAAAATTACAGCAACACCCCCGTGCAGCACCCACTGCAGATGGCTACTCACCCAGATCCTGGATCCTGCCACCCAGGACCGTGCAATCCCTCTACAGGCTCTTGGTCCTGGACAACACGCTTTTAAACACTGCCCAGGGCTGGAAACACTGAAGGGCTACAATAGATTACCCTGTTTCAGGGTTGGAATCCCCAGTCCTGTTGACAGGCCCCTTCAGGCCATGGGAATAACTTAACTAAGCTGGTTTAGCAGGTACTGCCCGTCTTGGCTCCTTTGGGTGCTGGTGACCACACCCCAGAGCCAAGGGCCCGCCCTCACTCAGCTGCCACCGGACTCTGAACTCTGAGAGGTCCAAGGGGTGGGACTGAAGGGAGCCAACCCAACCTGTTGTCCTTTTTACCCTTTTGAAGCAAGATTAATAAAAACTCAGAGACAGATATTGGTGTTCAACCTGAAGACCAGAAAAACAAAGTAGTCAGCCACTGGCTCTTACCTCAACCTTAGTCTGAAAATGGTGATCCTGCCTCCAGGAAACCTCAAAATGAGACTGTCTGTGAAAGCTGTCTCCTCCCATTTTATAATCCTCTCTAGTTCTGGGATTAAGGGCATGCAACACTATTGCCTGATTTCCGTGGCAAACTAGTGTGGCTACTGGGATTAAAGGTGTCTGTCATTCCTGCCTGGTCTGTAAGGCTGACCAGTGTGACTGTTTTACCTTTCTGATCCTCAGACAAGCTGTATTTATTAAAATGCAAATGAAATGCCAGTATCACCTTTAAAATGCCAAGCTACAGAAAGGCAGTTTGGATATTCCTGTCCTCAATTTAGGGGATATGGAAGCTGTTCCAGTTGTCATTATAGGAGGCGGAACTTCCCTCTTTCCAGATGACTTAGGCTCAGCCACAACCTGAGACCCAGAGCCATCCATTTTCCAATCAAGCCAGGCTCTCCTCTGTTCAGGCTGCAGCTCTGGTCCTTGAGGTGTGGTGTACATAAACCCGCCGGGACTGGGCTCCACAGCTCTGCGCTTTGATTGCTTGGGGTTTTCTGTAAGGGTCCCCATCTATTGCAGAGCAAAGTTTCCTTGATGAAGGGTGAGGACTACACTTATCTGTGGGTATAAGACACATGTTTAGAGCAGAGTGAGGGATTTTGCTGATTTAGTTAGGTGGAGCTTGGAAATCCCCCTCTGAGACCCGTGACTTCATTAGTTGCCCAGGTGTCTGGCAGCAGGGATGATTAACCTCTTGCTCAGCGGGTCTTTGTCGCCATCTGTGCCACTGCGGCACTGGTAGGGGTTTCATGCCACACTGGTCATTGCTGTGGTTCACAGGTGTCACGGCTGGGTAGAACTGTTGGTGGCTTCCCTCTGTTGGACGCTTGTATGTGTAGGACCCAGCCATGATAAGCTTAATAGAGGCCTGAGTCTCAGTAGTTTTCCCTAAGGCAATATCTGGGTGCAAGACCATAAACTGAGACTACCCAGGCACCACACAGGAACAGACCATCCAAAGGAAATTTCTGACGTTTCAACCCATTGCAGATAGGATCATCTGCCAGCACGGATTCACCAGGAAACCCCTAGACAAATGTCAGCCAATCAGGGGTCTTGAACCTTAAAAATCCCTCACCCCTACCTTTGCCACTATAAAAACCCAACCCCAACTGAGCTCAGGGCTCTCCGATTATTCCAATATGTTGGACACATGGAGAGACTGAGTTTGCAAACTTGTAAGGACTCTTTGCTTTTACATACGGAACTCAGTCTCCTTGTTGTTTTGGGGGGACTTCACGGATCTAGGCATAACAGTATGACCATGAATGCTAGACCTCAGGGAGGAGGCATTTGGATCAGTTCCAGCTCAGGGGTCTCTACCTCTGGGAGGCAACCGAAGGCAGTAACAATAGTCTTGAATGTTTTGTGAATCTGTTGGACAACCCTGACCAATAACTCAAAAGGGGGCTTCTCACGTCTGCATCAGGATTTCCAGACCTTGACACAATTGATGCTTAGGAACAGGCGATTCTAGCTGGGCGGAGGTGGTGCATGTCTTTAATCCCAGCACTCGGGAGGCAGAGGCAGGTGGATCTCTGTGACTTTGAGGCCAGCCTGATCTACAAGAGCGAGTTCCAGAACAGGCTCCAAAGTTACAACGAAACCCTGTCTCGAAAGACCAAAGGGGTGGGGGGGGGGGGACAATTCTTTCTTCCTTGTGGAAGATTGCCCTTTGCATTATATGAAGTTTAGCATCCCAACATGCTCAATGGTGTTTAAACAACTGTCTTCAGACATTACCAGATGCCCCCACCCCGAGGGACCTATTGGGGCACCAGCAGATTAGGAGAATATATGGACATCTCTTTCTTATACTTTCAACTACTCTAGAGGACGACACAGAACTATCAGTTCAAGGGCAATGTGGCATAATGTCCCGCTGACCTGGAGCCAAAGGGATAACAAGCAACCTCCACTAGCTATGAAACCCCACTGGGCTATGTACCTGGCCTAGAAAGGGAGTTTTAACTCAGCATCTAATCCATCCTTTGTGTTACAGATACCTTTTGTTGCCCTAATGAATCTTGTCTGAGAGTCTCCCATGGATACAAAGCCTATGCAAAACTTGGTTTAGAGGAAACCGGGAAAACCGTGGTACCTCATGAATCAGGTATTTGCACCTGGCATTCTATTTTCAGAAACTTCAGTTTGTTTTGAGATATGAAAATCTACTAGCTAAAGTGTAACTATAGGAAAAAAATAAAGATTCTAAGAGGCAAAGGGAAAGCGCTTCAGCTCACCAAGGCTGAGGTCCCTGCAGCCACAAAGGCTAAATTCATTCTCAAGGTGTCTCTGAGTCTTCATTTCACAGACCCCCATGAACCCACACACCCGCACCACGTTACACGCGACGTTGGTGCCCAACGCCTGGCTTGAAGAACAGAGAAGTCAGCCACATAGAGAACTGGAAAGAACACTCTCAGGTAAGAGGAGGACGCCAGGATCGGCAGAGTCATGGAGAATTTAAACTCCCATCTCAGGAGTAACAAAATGTACAGTTACTAAAATGCTTCTGCACATTTTTACAAGAGCTCCTGAGACAAAGAATAAAAAAAGGAAAAAAGGAAACTTCCCAGTAGAAAAAAAGGGAAAGTAAGAAAATCTTCCCTATAGAGAAGAGGGAAGGAAAGGAAATAAAAGGAAATTTATCGAAGGGAAAAGGAGAAGTGATTAGTCAAGAAAAATGATTTTCCTGGAAAAATATTGAATCAAGACCTAAAAATTAAAAGGCTCCATAAGAGGAAAAATAAAGAAAAGAAAAGAAAATCTCTTCCCAGCTGATAAAGAGAAAGGAAAGAGGCTCTTTCCAATATAAAAAATTGAGACTAGTTAAAAATCCGAGCTCCCTCTCTATGGCTGCAGGCTGCCTATCAGCTCTTTCAGAGGTGGGTCCGCACAGAGCTGCTGTATCTGAATAACAACAGGTGGGCCTCTGAAGCATGATAATAAAAACTCAGAGACAGGTATTGGGGTTCAGCCTGAAGACCAGAAAAGCAAAGCAACAGCCAGCCACTGGCTCTTACCTCTACCTCAGTCCGAAATAGCGATTCTGCCTCCACGAAACCTCAGAATGGGACTGTGTCTGAGAGCTGTTTCCTCCCGTTTTATAATCCTCTCTAGGGCTGGGATTAAAGGCATGCACCACTGGGATTAAAGGCACACACTGCCCGGTTTCTATGGCAACTAGTGTGACTACTGGGATTAAAGGCGTGTGCTACCACTGTCTAGTCTGTCAGGCTGACCAGTGGGGCTGTTTTACTCTCAGATCTTCAGGCAAGCTTTATTTATTAAAATACAAATGAAATGCCGCTACAGGCCTCACTGCTGCAGCCTGAGCGAGCTCAGGAAGCCCAGAGTTTAGAATTTTGCTGTTTGCTTAACTTCAGTTAAAAAATTTATTATTGTTTTTCCCTCAGAATGGGAAGAACTCAAAGGTCTCCTCATGAGAAATGTTTTTACTTTTCCCTAATAGTGGGAATAATTCATTATCAATAGTCTGTTCATGGGAGAAAAAAGGATTTAAAACAAGCCCAGCTTCTATTAAGAACAATTGAGGTCAGAGCATAAAGTATTAAGTCAATGCTATCTAAGTTCCCAAAGATATTAATCATTTATTGTATAGAAGATGTTCTCTTGATTGTCTAATTAATGTTTAGATAAATGTTTAATTTTCACGGTAAATGAACTAAAAGAACAGGATTCATGATTTTAAACTATGGGTATGATCTTGTCTGTTTATCATTACTGAAAATAAGACCCTGTTCTTTAAGTTGCTTTTTAAAAATTCTTGGTTGAATTCTATAAAAATGTAACACCTGAAACAGTTGGGTTATTCGGTTATTAGATAATATGGCTACTAAGTTAAAAGCTCACAGAAGTAATCTTTTACTGATAAAGAGGTTACAAAATTGTTTCTCCATTAAATAAAATATAGGTAAATTGTTTGAGCCACACTGTTAATAAGTGGCAAGTTGCACTAATATGTTACTTGGGATCTTTAAGGTCTTCTTTTTAAGATTTTATCAAAATGTTCCATGAGTATCACCTAAAGTTACCACTAAAATCCGTAACATTGTTTTAATGCCTTTATAGATGTCTTATGCATGAAAGTCTTTGCAGATAGAAGCTGGTGGTAGAGTTGCTCAATTATTGTTGGCCCCATATCCTAAAGGTAAAGCAGCTCCTATTATACAATAAAATGTTTTAAAAATACTTTTTAAAAAAGGTGTTTTGGCAAACTGTTATTAATGATGTGAGGCCAAAGCTAAAACTGCAAGTAAATGGCGTTGAGATCCAGGCCTACTGAAAGCTAAAGCTACGTATCGCAATTTTTCAGAATTCTTAAAATCCCAATTGGGACCCTGAAAACTTATCTCAGATGGAACAAACTGTGAAGTGAATTAAATGCATAGGACCTGAAGGACAGAAAAGGAAATAAAGCCTATGTGGTAAAACAATGGCCCTTAACTAAAGAGAAATTACAGACGCTTGAGGAACTGATAAAGAACAGTTAGATGCTAAGCACATCAAGGAAACTACCAGTCCTTAGAAGTCTCCTGTATTAGTAATCAAAGAATCTGAAAATTATTCACTGATAAAAGCTATTAATAAGATAATTTAACCTATGGGATCCTTACAGCCTAAAATTCCTTCACATAAACAGGGTAGAGAAAAATTTGACTTTATAGTACCTACTTATAATAATGCCTAGTCTGTAAAGAGATATCAATAAAAGTACTTCCTGAAAAAACTTTTTAATAGCCTAGCTTTGTGTCAGTATTTCATAAATTGCCCACAGGAAGTGGTATGTAAACAAGTCCCTCAGTCTATTACCTACCATTATATAGACCGTGTTTTATTGTTGACTGCTTCTGATACTGATACCTTGGAAAGAATGTTTAGTGCAGTACAGAAAAATTTACCCTGTTGGGGATTATAGATCTCTCCTGAAAAAATACTAAGAGGAGAATCTCTTAACTATTTAGCATTTAAAGTAAGTAAACAGAAATTCAGCAACGAAAGGCACAAACTAGAAAAAACCTAATCGCCTCATAAAGGAGATGCTTGTTAAGCCGAAGGGGATATCAGGAACCCCGGAGATACATACATAATGCCTTACTAACTTCTACTTTAGAAATCTTTAAATGCCAATGAAACAGGGACAGCAGCCGCTAAAAGACATTGGATTATGGGGGGGGGGGGTGCTGAATTAGGTCAGCCCGTGTAAAGCCAGGGAAAGTGTTAAGTTAGGGCCGAGGTTCTGCTTATGTTGCCACAGGAGATAAAAGATTATAGATCCCATCGAAACTGATAAAAATCGGACATGAGCAAGAGGAATCTCTCCTGCTTCAGTTGCTGAGAAGCCTCTGGGAAATAAAAGGCCTTGGAGCAGACAGTAAATCCTCACCTGGGGACAACTTAAGGGTTTGTGTGATCAAGGGGAGGGGAATGACTCAGGAACCTGAATGCCACAGGTCTGTTCCTTGATATACTTATTTGTGGTAGTTATGCAGGCGGCAGGGACAAACTATACTTATTGGGTGTTTATCTCCAATCCTTCCATTAACATTGCAGTCAGTTGAGGAGATAGGAACATTCCTGTAGTGGTTACTGAATCTTCATGGCTACCTGGTTCATCTGACAAGAGAGGTCCTCCTCAGCCAATGGAGGAGGGTAGAGTGATTGACACACTGTGGGAGTACAGGGTATGCCCATTTGCATGGGAAATGGAGCTCAATGCCTAAAAATAACTTCTCAAGTATGGCTAGCCATAGTCAATACTGCCCGAGATTACCATAACAAGTTTTCTGTGCTCCAAGTGTCTGCTTTCCGAAGGCAGAGATTAGATTAATGGTACCAGTTCCAAAAGTCTACTGTTCTGTGAGATGTGGGTTTTCAACAAGGGATCTGATTGGGTGCATTGACAACAGTTTAAGAGTGAGAAGTCTCAAGTGTTAATTCATATCTCCCAAGGAGACATCATAGATTGGTTTTCTGGTCTTCCTTCCCCATCTCCCTCTAGGGGCCTGGAAAGCCATCCGGTAGCATTGGTATCCATTGAACCTGGGCTTTTTCTATTTCAGTTTGATTGGGTCAGATTTGGATTATTGCATCAGCAGAGAGGCTTATGGAGTTCAGAAACTTTTCAGCTTTGGCAAGACTCTCCTGTGATGACCCTGGTACAGAAGCTCACTGAGAGGATATTGAACACACCGAAAGAACTGGTGGGTGCAGTTATTCTGGGAATCAAAGCATTGACAACTACAGCAGCAACAGCTGAAATGGAACTTCATCAAAAAATACAAACTGCCGAATTCATCGGAGACTGGCATAAGCACTCAACAGAACTATGGACTAAACAAAATAAGATTGATAATGCGATAATGAATAAACTAGCTGAGTTAAGGCAAGCTGTTATATTGCTAGGGGATCAGTTAAAATTTTTGAAGGAGCAGATAAAATAAAAATGATTGGAATGTTTATGCTTTTGTACCAGACCCTTAAGATTTAATGAAAGCAAGTGTGATTGGGGTAGTTATAGTTACATCCTCTAGTATCTTAACTAAGAGCATATCAGGTGCTAGATTCAGATTCATCAATATACAACAGCTATATTGGACTAATCTGTAATTTGCCATTTACTTATGAGCTGGACATTTAATTTAGTATGTGCTTCTTACTTGACGTTGTTCTTGCTGGTTGTAGTTCCATTTTTGTTTATGTTATTACCCTTTTTATCTCCTGGACAATACTTGATAATCATTTTTATTGCATATAGTTTTTAGATTTAGAACCTTCTTATTTAGACACAAAAAGGGTAAGTGCAATGGGAATTCGTTCTACCCATGACCTTGGACTATGTGGCCTGATAGAGGTTGTGCTTCTTGTCTCCCTACGTGACCTTTTAAAAGGAAAGAAGGAAGGGCTTGCTTGCTGTTGCTTGGGTAGTGAAGACCTGGTCAGGTGGCTGAGGCAGCATGTGATCGATCCCCAGCTTTCCAAGGAGTCTGTGACTGGACTTACCATATCCTGTATTCATGACTGTATTTTCCCCTTTTCATGCCTTAACAAATCTTCGATACCACTTAAACAGATGCGTGCGAATTTAAGGTAACACTCACTTACACTCTACGGAAACCCAATAGACTCACTAGATCCCCAGTGTGAACTTTGGCAGACTAGTTCCTCTGCTTGTTGGGAACGTAGCAGAAGAGGTGGGCAGTAATTACTCCCCCCCCCCCCCGGGAAAGAGATTTACTAACACATGAATACTATTTATTTTGATAACAAGACCTTGTCTTTAAAAAAAAAAAAAGTGCCTGTGTGGTGTTTTGATGTAGGCTAGACAATCAAACACCTCTATGGGGCGTCTTCCCTGGGGCTCATACAGTGGGTGTATCTTGCTACCAGATTCTGGTGCCCTGGAACAAGGATCATTCCTCAAAGTGAGCAAGAAATGGTGTAATATTTAATAAGATCTAGACTCAGTGGCACTTAAGGCTGTGAAAGCTGTCAGAACCAAAATAGAATTCCATGTGTCAACCCTAGCAAATAATTAGAAAATAAAGCCAGAAGGAGATGAATGAAGGGTTCTTATGCATGATAACACTACCGTGGAAGACCAAAAGGCTAGATGTTTACAGAAAGGCCACCATAGCCTTATGCAAAAGGCACTTTAAAAAAAAGTTTATTTATTATGAATACATTGTTCTGCCTACATGTATGACTGAATGCCAGAAGAGGGTATCAGATCTCATCCAGATGGTTGTAAGCTACCATGTGGCTGCTGGGAATTGAACTCAGGACACTTGGAAGAGCAATCAGTGCTCTTAACTCCTGAGCCACCTCTCCAACCCTGCAAAAGGCACTTCTTTTGTGGCATGGCCACATGTACTTTTGATTCCAGCTACTCAGAATGCTGAGGCAGGAGAATCATCAACTGGAGGTTCAGCCTGAACAACACAGCAAGTCTCCATCTCTGGAGGAAAAGCAGCATCTCTCCAAGGCATCTGTCCAGGCTCTACCCATTCAACCTCTGACTGATGCCACTGGTATTAGTCACTCTAATCAAGGATTACTGTTTCAAAATGTTGGATCCCCTGAGGAATATTTGTGCTCGTATCCTCACCTCATCTACTCTGTGTGTATTCATATCTTATGAATAATACCACACATGGATAGAGTGGGTCTTTTAACATTGATTAACTTAGTCTAGCTAATCCCTTACAGATATGTTCAAAGATTTGTTTCCATGGTGACCTACATCCCATAAAGTTGAAATCTAGATTAATCATTGTATTTTAACCACAGGGCTTCACCCTACAATCTGTCACTACAGTCCTAACTTCCTATGGGGCTGTGCATGCTTTGGAGAGATGGGTTGGTGGGCCCATGTCATCATTATTGGTGTGTGTGTGTGTGTGTCCACACACGCGTGCGCACACATGCACACTCCTTCATTTTCGGACTCTAATGTCACACAGATTGGGCTCTTGAGGGAAGTCATGTGTCTTTGAACTGTAGCAGGATTGGGGGAAGCTGTGACGTCCATTTCCTCCCTGTGCTGTCTGTGGAGCACACCAAGCTCTCGGTGCTTGTTCAGTTCTGGGCAGGAGCAGGGAAGATAAATTCTGTTCGGAGGAAGGAGTGGCCATCTTGTATCCAGCTCTGTGGTAGCTGCAGTGGTTGGTAGGAAGGCAGTACAAATCTTTGGGGGAGAGAAGATGGACAGAGGAGATCTTCAAAACTGTGGGTATGACAGGGAAAGTACTTGAACTAGGGGACAGGTTATAGTGCCTGATAGAACTATGCTCACTGTGCCTTGGGCAAACCCCATGGTGCAGGTTTTGCAAGCCTGAGTCACAACACCCAGATGTGCCAGCAGACTAAAAGCTCTCTTTGATGTGTGGAGGATGGGGATCTGGGAGAGGGTCAATTCCTCGTCAGGGCCACTTGACCCTGGGACTCTCGAGTCCATCGGAGTGGTCATCTCATCAACTCCTACTGAATGCCTCCAGTGGAAAAAGAAAAGGACCAAAAGTGGAGAAAAGGAACTGGCCAAAGTAGCTTGTCTCCAAACAGAAGAGACCATCACAAAGTAGTGGATGGCCTATGTGGCACCCTTTGTGTTACGTAGACTGTTCTATTTCAAGGTTCACTGACTCCTGGCTAGATCAGTAGTAGGTCTGTGGAACTCTACCCTTGTTGGGATGATCCAAAATTTAGGGTTACCTAGTTATTTCCCAGTTGCTAATTAAATAAAGGTCTGTATTCTATAATCCTCTTACCTCCATCTTTTGCCTAGAGCTCATCTGTCAGAATATGTCAGAATATCTCTTTAGGTCCAGAAACCCTGATCTGCAGCCACAGCCATGGCTGTTCATTTGACAGAAAAGTGAGCTGGAAGGATTAATTTTCCTGTTTCTAGGAGGGTTCCAGCAACTCCAAAGGTCCTGCACAGCTCTGCTGAATCACCCTGAGGCAGCAACTTCTCTCCTTGCACAATCAAGTTCAGGCGACTCACTATCTGGAACATCAAAAGACTTGTCCCTGGCTCCTGGGTAGAACATGAACTCATTCCATGGTACTCATGAGTGTAACTCCAAGATCTGTCACCCTCACTTAGACATACATGCAGGCAAAACACCAATGCACATAAAATAAAAATAAATTTTAAAAGAAGTTACTTATAAAAGGAAATGACCTTCACTGCTCTATTCACTGACAATTTGATTAAGCCTTGCTTCAGTTTTGCTGGTGGCAAAGATTTGGAGACCGCCCACTCAATAAAGATTTGTTCCCCAGTTAGACGTGTCTAACTCTCAGGTTTTAGAATTAGACAAAACTTTTGAAGACTTACCAAGTGATTGTCAATTGTATCTGCTATATTGTCACTTAGAAACACTTTGTTTAAACTTATATACTCAGGAGGGATTCCAATACTAATAATGTTATTTTTTTAACACATTTTGGCTATGATAAAAATTTTTGCTAAAATTTATTTACTTAATATGCTTTAAATATATTTTAAGTTAACACCTATTCATTTATGAGAAACATTTGTACTATTCTTATTGGCAAAAATGTTCCTCCTTGTTAATAAAAATCTCCTTCTATAAGAAAGAATTTCTCATTTTTCATATCAAGTAATCATTTCACACATCTTGAGACAATCATTTTGTCTCTGAAATTTAAGAAATAGTTGATGGGGAAAAGTGTGAAGCCCTCTTTTCCTCAATGAATTATGTTACAAAAATTTTCTTTTAAAAAAAATGTATTTTAACTTGTCTGTGTGAGTTCAAGTGATCCCCTGGAACTGGAGTTCTGGGTGGTTGTGAGCTGCCTTGTGTGTGCTTGGGAACTGAACCCAGGTCCTCTGAAGAACAGCCAGTGCTCTAAGCTGCTGAGCCATCGTCTCCAGTCCACACACAGGTGTTCACTGTTCCTCATTGGTGCTTGTCTGCTTTCCACTCACGGGACTCCAGTGCACAGATGGTGCATGTTTTCATCATACAGGATGAAGAAGTTTTGTATATAACTGTATCTAGTGTTTTCCTTTCCTTTAGCACGGTGTAGCTGAGTAGGGTTGGGGATGGTCAAGACTGTATCCTGGAGATGGGAGGTGGGATGGGAGAGGAAAGAAAAGCGATTTGACATGAGTCCTCAATCTCAGCAGAAGGTATTAGGAAAGTACACATAAGAGTTAAGAATCTGGGGCACAGCTGGATGTGGTGGCACAAGCCTCTAATCCCAGAACTTGGCAGGCAGAGGCAGGTGCCTCTCTGAGTTCCAGGCCAGCCTCATCTACAGAGGGAGTTCCAGGACAGCCAGGGCTACACGGAGAAACCATGTCTCACTGTTCCACCCCCGAAAAAAAGAGAAGAATCTGGGGTAAGTAGGGAACCCTTTAATCTATCCATGCCACTGTGGGCCTCCCAAAGTTTCTGTGACTACCATAGTAAGAACGTCCTTAGTTTGGAGACTCGTTTGGGAAGATTGCGTGTTCTCTGGGCATTTCTACCCATACTGTGCAATTACTGCCAAAGAGTCACTTCTTTGGGTCTTTATACAGCTGGACACAGTTGCAACTTTGTCATGAGAATTATAGGAAGAGTCTGTCCCAAGCAGTGCAGTGATCAAGTAGCTAGGAAAGGCTGTCCATTGGCTGTTGGCGAACCACCAAGGTGTTTCATCCTTGCATGACACTGCAGTTTAGGGTCAGCTCCTGTTTATCAGCCTAGGGGTAGGTACACAGTTATCCTGACTTAACACTCCAGATGCCAGTGTGTTAAATTACGAGGAGAAATCACTGAAGACTGAATCCCAAACCTGTGGGAAGATCTATGTATATGGTCAAATAGGAAGCCATAACTTTATTTTTGAGTATTACTGGTGATGTAAAAGAGTAGAAATAACTAGCCAGGTGGTGGTGGCGCACGCCTTTAATCCCTGCACTCGGGAGGCAGGGGCAGGTGGATCTCTATGTTCGAGGCCAGCCTGGTCTACAGAGAAAATTCCAGTACAGGCTCCAAAGCTACAGAGAAACCCTGTCCGCAAAACCAAAAGAAAACAAGAAAAAGTAAAAGAAAAAAAGTGAAAATAACTAAGGCTTCTAACACTATATATACACACAAATATATATATATATATGTATATATATTTACATTAAATGATATGCAGTGATTTGATCGTGTTTTTTTGAAGGAATCTTAGTGACGAGAAACAACTTGATACTAAATAAACACAGCAGATGACAGTTACGTTCACTGTGCTAAGGATCTAGATAAGGTTGAAGAATGTACATTGAAAAATACTGGATACAAATGAAATCACTAGTTTTCATTTAGTGAAAAACTATGAGTATCTTATTTTTCCCAGGTTTTTAATATGTCTACTTTTGTATTCTTAACAGATGAAGGCTAAGTTTAGGGTATTTACATGTATTTTTTTTAATTTCAGGAGCACTGAGGCTGGACCTCAAGTCTTCTGGCATGCTAGGTGCTTTATCCCTGGGCTCTCATACGCTGTCCTCCATCCTGGCATGCTCTTTGCCCTCTTCTATGCTTCCTCTCTCAAACTTGCTTCTAATGCCAGTTTCAGATTCTCGTAAAGTCCTAAAGCGGCTTCGTGGGACAGTTAGTTGCCCAAACTCTGTGCTCTGGAATTGTTTCATACCTGGACACACGCGGGTTCATTACATGATCATATGACTCACAAATCCGCGAACCCTGAAAAACTGTGAACCCATCAGTGGTCGAGAGGACAAGGTGTTTACTTCTGGGTCATTGCTACTTAGCATTTGGTAGGCTACTCAATAGGAAAGAAATGAATTTTGAACTTATCTCTTTCACAAACCAAGCACATAGATGAATGGTTTCAGTGGGAAGGTTGACAGCGAAGAACAAATTGGTGACCCTTAGGACCTCTACACAGAGGACGGCTGGCGTTGGCAGGAAGCTCTTAGAAAGGTTATAAGATAAAACTTGAAAATGAGAGGATTTTCTAAGCTTACTTTAATTTAAGGTGGTTTGACACTGACACGGCCTGGGTACAGAGTGGTCGGGGACACTGGTGAGAGGGCTCAGTGGGGTCGCTTGCCAGCAGCCCTCACGACCCAGGTCCCATTCCCACTACCCACATGGTGGACGAGGAGAACCGACTCCACAGCTCTCCTCTGACTTCGATGTGCATGAGGCTCACACACAGGCGTGACTAGGGCCTGTATTCTTGGAATATCTGGCAGGATGTGTGGGGACTTGGAGGCAAGACTCCCATCAGACTTGTCCTGTGAAAAGTCGTTAATGCACTCAGGTTTCATGTCAGTGACCAATGCTTAAAGAAAAGGAACGAGCTGATCAGGTCCTTCTGATTAGAGATGATGAACACTTGAAATAAGAAAAATGGTCCTTAACTCAGTCTTTGTTTCTGTCTTCCACTCAGTGTTTTCAAGCACAAAATATTTTTTCTTAAGGATCTGTACTTTTTTAAAAAATACTAAAGTTGTCTTCACTAGTTGTCCGATGGTTTAGTTTCCTTTTTTTCTTAGATAGTCTCCTGAAAGAAACACAGCACATTAATAATTTGTGAGTGTGAACTGACATTACAATGTAATTCATTCATTTTTCAATAAGCAGTGTTGGTTGACTACCACGTGCTGGTACCATGCCATGTAGTGGAGTTACAGGATGACGGGATGGATAAAACACAGGTCGTGTCCTTGTGGAGATCTGTGCCTAGTAAGAGAGACAGATCATACACTATGGAGTATGCGATCCTCGGTTCTACTCCATAGTGATAGGGCTATTTGAGCTGCTCTGGGGAGTGACTAGTTCTTCATGCAGAGAGAATGATGGCACACATAACTAACTGTCAAGGGAAAATGGGTGGGGGAGGGCTCAGGGGACAGTAGAACCTGCTGCCTGCTCATTCGTTTAAAAAAAAATCTGTTAATAAGAAAAATTTGAGGGCTGTTTTTCACTCATCAAAAATTATACTTGCTTTCTTAATCTGTGGAAGGTTGCTTGAGCCTCCAAAGGGATCTTGACCCACAGGATGAGAATCACTGCTCTACCGCAACCATGATAGATGGAGATCGGGGGAGACCAGGATTGTATTGGTGATTGACTTTTAGTCAGATATGGTGGCACGCTCTTGTAATCCCACTACTTGGGTGTTAGAAGCATCAAGTTCAAGGCCAGTTTAATATGTATGTTGAGTTCCAGACCAGTCAGTACTACATAGCAAGACATTGTCTCAAACAAACAAACAAACAAACAAAAAACCCAAACCAAAAAAAAACACCCAAAAAACCGAAAACAAATATAAAAGTAAGACCTTTAAAAACTTAACTTATTGTAAGAATTGCTGCCAGGCAAATTCAGAAAAATGAATTATTTTTCTATTCATCTTTTTTATAGGACTGGTCTTAGATGATATTCTAATGAGAATAAACAAAATACCCAAACCATGAGCCATCTGCTTTTTTTCCATGTAGATGACAAAACACAGAGCCTAGATTCTTACATACATGTGGGTTTAGTTAAGAGAGAGGCAAGTCTCATGTGAAGAAGCTAGGACATTTGGTTGTTCACTTAGGGGTTAAGTCACAGGAAGGATTTTTTTTGTTTTTGGGTTTTTTGTTTTTGTTTTTGTTTTTTGTTTTTTGTTTTTTCGAGACAGGGTTTCTCTGTAGCGTTGGAGCCTCTCCTGGAACTAGCTCTTGTAGACCAGGTTGGCCTCGAACTCACAAAGATCCACCTGCCTCTGCCTCCTGAGTGCTGGGATTAAAGGCATATGCCACCACTGCCTGGCCTAAGTCACAGGAAGTTTAAGGAATAATTTTATTTCTTTAATAATGTTATACTAACTTTTTAAAACTGATAACTTAGAATTAGTGATGCTAACATTTTACTGACACACATAATTTACCAATATAGTTGTTTAAAAATAAACCTGACTGACTTGTGTGGAGTAATATAGGGTTATCTGCCTATTGACTCCTTAAAATTGCTATTACGTCATGCTTAAAAAAACAATTGAAACATAATTAAACAATTGAACATGGTTTCACCATATAACTCTGGCTGGCTTGAAACTAGCTATACAGATTAGTCTAGCTTTGAATTCACAGAGATCTACCCACTCCTCCTATGTGCTGTGGTTTAAATACAGGTGTATGGTCTACATTCAGAGGTTAAAAAAAATTTTAATCACCTTGATTCTTTATTTCTCAAATTTTCTGCAATAATCACATATTTTTTTTAATAGAGAAAAGCACAATTAGGGGGCATACTAGCACATGCATGTAATCCCAGAATTTAGTGGGCTAAAGCAGGAAGATTAAAAGTTTGATCCCAGTCTGGGGTACACAGTGAAACCCTATATCAGAGAGAGAGAAAGCTGGAGGAGGAGAGGGAGGGAGAGCCATAGTAATGAAGGCAGCACAGTTAAGTCAGCTGATGGGAGCAGCCTGACCCACCCTTTAGGCTATCCAAACACTTCTAACATGCTGGTCCCTTCTTACAACAGTGGGTTCTAACTGGCGCTGTGTCAGCTGCATTATATTTTTGAGTCTTTTGTGGCCTTAAGTAAATGAATGAATGAATGAATGAATGAATAATCAGTCAGAGAATCTTCATTACAATGAAGCCAGGGAACTTTCTGGCCTTCCCTATGGAATTAGCCTTGGTTCTGAGCCAATAGAATAAAGCCTGGTTTATTGAAAGCCTAGTGGCCTGTCTTCCTACTTTCATTATAAATATTTTAATGAGATATATTAGCTCAAATTATAGGTCTCTGTCTGGTTTCTGCTCCTATGCTGCTGAAAATGAGCCTCCTTTTCTAGGACTTAACTTCTCACACATTCATTTGAGATTAGTTCACTGGAACTGCCCTGGATTTGTTAGGTGGAAGTCATTCACATCTCCATTTATCAAACAAACAGTAATTTCCTACTCAAAATCATGTACTGTGCTAGATCTCAGGTAGGGGGAGGATTAGGATGGCATTGCTGCAATAGTTTTGTAATCCAGATCAACAAAGAGATCTAATGGGAGTAACAGCAGTGGTGTGCATAAAACACACAGCACAGTGGAAGAGGCACCCAGATCTGCCGGACCCTCAGTGAGGATGAGGAATGTACCAACCAGATGTGAGGGGGCATGGGCAGGACAGGAATGCATTTCTGGCAGGTAGGATGGCATCTACAAAGTCACGAGAGGCGATTTACCATTTGCTATGCTCAAACCTGACTTTAATTATCTATTAAGTCTTATTTTTCCCCCATTGTAAACCAGGGAAGTGGACTGCACTACACACCAAGATGGCTGCTTCTCCACCAGCAGCTCCCTCTCCAGGGTGGGCCCTAACATTCTTTCCTTTTTAACCTGCTTCCTCTCTGCTCCCCTGCACATCTCTCTTGCACAGCTTACTGACATAGGGGTGGAAGTAGGGGTAAACTATGACACAAATCAGCCTGCTACCAAGCCAGGGAAGGAAGCAGTTGCATTGCAATGGGACAAAGCAAAGCTGACTCACGAAGAAGCAGAGACAAGACAGACTGCCTGCAGTCCAGCAGTGTTCCCATCCAGGGTACTTGCCTTTCCCATGGCTCCCCTGTGTTCAACACTTTCTGTGTGTATGTGAGTCATCCCTGGATTCTCCAATAAATTCCTCCTTTCTCCCCTGGCTAGTTTGAGCAGGGTCTCAAGCCTCAGTGGGAGGCCAACTTACCCAGCTTCTCTGTGGCTTCCACACAGACGCTAGGATACATGCCTGCAGTGTAAGTGGCCACCAGAAGATACAGCTGGGTCTTCACAACAACCACACCAGTGTTCTCCTGGGTGAGGAAGGACATAGAACGCTCTGGCCAGGAGTTACCCCAGACACAGTCAAAACAAAACAAAACAAGAAAACCTTTTTCCTGACTTCTTTGTATTTTTGTAGTTATATTTTAATCTTCCATTATTTTGAGAAAGTTAGTAGTATTTTCTGAAAAGTTTCAGTTTTTTTGTACTAATATTGCACGTATTGTGAAGAAGAATTCCTGGAAAGCATACTGACTGTGGGGAGGTTGGAACGTTGCAGGTCTAGAGCCTAATAACTAAGTATTCTGGGCTATTGCCCGGTAATAACCTTTCCTTGCCTACCTCTGTGCCTAACAGGTATATGAACTTTGGAATGTATTTAAACACCCCACCTGATCCTAGCTTTGCTGTATGTGTCCGTGTCTCTGTCCTTTCTTCCTCCCTTGCTGCCCCCACGCAGGGTTTCAGGACCCAAGACAAGCAAGTCATGACACTGGAGGATGAACAGTATCAGGAAGGTAGCTCAGCTGACAGAGTCCAGAGGAAATATTTTAACAGCCTGGATATCTGGCTAAGACTACTTTTGGACAAGAAGTGCTTTTTTCTTCTTTAATTCACTTCAGTGCTGGAGACCAAGCCCGGAGCTTTGCACGCTGTAGGTGAGGTCTCTGCTCTTCATGTCATCCCCAGCCCTCGTGAGGATTTCCACACTTCACAGTACAGTGCCTTCCTGGTACTAGATTGCTATTTGAATAACTCAAGGCTAATAGTAATGTTTTGCAGAGAGCATCAGGAGGGATAAAGAAAACCGAAGTAAAATTCTTAAGATTTTTACCCATCTGTCTTCGAATCTTGAATACTTACGTTCTTAGCATAAAGAGAATACTCATCCGCCCGGACACATTTGTAATCCTTCTCCTTGAAGTACAACCCTTCCCTTCGGGTTATTAGTGGGTTTTTGGCAAATCCATTCACGAGTGTTCGAACATCACTTGGCATTACCTGCAGAGGTTAAACAGGACAGGTAAGAAGCATGGCCACTGGCCAGGTAAATTTGGTTGGCTGCTTTTTAAAATGACCTGAAGGCTGGGAATGTTTTTCACTTTTAAAAAATGACTGGACAAAAGAATAGCACTCGTGACATGTCACCATTACATGAACCCCACATTCCATTGTTCATAAGCTAGCATTAGAGGATAGCCATGCTGTCTATGGCAGCTCTTCCAACTACAGAATTACTGATTGAGACCGACTATGTGGTCTAAACGTAGTCTAAAGCATTTCCAATGGTTTTTTCTAGTAGAAAAGGCTTTTTTGGCTTTCCAGCGGTAAGGACCTCCCTACGAGAACATGCCTCTCGCAAAAGATCTCCTTCATCCCTCTCCAGAGGAGGAAAAGAGGAAACACAAGAAAAAGCGCCTGGTGCAGAGCCCCAATTCCTACTTTATGGATGTGAAGTGCCCAGGATGCTATAAAATCACAATGGTCTTTAGCCATGCACATACGGTAGTCTTGAGTGTTGGCCGCTCCACTGTCCTCTGTCAGCCTACAGGCGGGAAAGCAAGACTGACAGAAGGATGCTCCTTCAGGAGGAAGCAGCACTGAAAGGCACCTGATTTGAGATGAGTGGGAACCATCAAATAAACACATTTTGGAAAAAGAAAGAAAAGAAAAGAAAAGAAAGAAAGAAAGAAAGAAAGAAAGAAAGAAAGAAAGGGCTTTTTTGTTTAAAAGTCATATCTACAGGAAAAGATTTTCTGAAAAGGACTTCCAATAGCACAGGCCTCAGGAATTTGCCAATGGGATCACAAGAAATTAAAGAGTTTATTACAGCAAAGGAAACAATACTAGAACAAAGTGATGGAACACAAGTGTGAAACAACCACCAACTATACAGTGGACAGAGATTCATGGACCAAGGGTAAATAAAGAATTGCAAAACTCGGGCTGGAGAGATGGCTCAGTGGTTAAGAGCACTGCCTGCTCTTCCAGAGATCCTGAGTTAAAGTCCCAGCAACCACATGTAAAGAGATCTGGCGCCCTCTTCAGACAGAACACTATATACATAATAAATGAATCTTAAAAAAAAAAAAAAACCCCTGCAAAACTAAAATCCCAAATCACCCAATCAATCAATCAATCAATCAATCAAGAGAACAGACGATTCTTGAGAGACACACAAAAGGTCAAATACTTGAAAAAAATAAGATTCATCCATCAGATAAATGCAAATTAAAACTGCTTTGAGGGACTGGAGATCTGACTCAGTACTTAAAGAGCACCTGCTACTCTTCTAAAGGACAGGAGTCCAGTAGTACAGTTCCTACACGTCCATGTCAGGTGACTCACAACTGCCTACAACTCCAGCTCCAGAGGATCTGAAGCCCTCTTCGAGGCTCCAAGAACAGTGCACTCAGATGCACATATAAACAGATATACACACATATACATAACTAACAATAGTTCTAGAGAGATGGCTCAGTAGTTAAGAACAATTATTGCTCATGCAAAGGACGGATCTAGATTTAATTCCCAGCACCAACATGGTGGCTTACAGTTCTAGGAGATATGAGTCTTCTGAATCCTGAAGGCACTACGTATACATGGCATTTTGAGAGTACACCATATGCCAGTCAAACAGAACCAAATGAGGTCAGGGATGTAGCTCAATTGGTAGAGCATTTGCTGAGCATGTCATAGCTCTGGATTTAGTCCCTAGCATTATATAGACCAGGCATGGCGCTCCATGATAGTCCTAGCACTTGAGAAGTAGGGGCAGGAGGTTTAAGGTCATCTTTGGTTACCTAGCAGGTTGCAGGCTAGCCTGGGCTGTAAGGAACCTTCTTAAAAACAGAAAAGAAAAAGAAAAAAGAAAACAAATGACAACAGATGCTGGCAAGGATGTGGGGAAAGATGAGAGCAGCTCTTAATTCATTGCTGGTGTGAATGCAAACTTGGGCATGTACTATGGAAATCAGTATGGAAAGTTCCTTCCCAAAAAGCTGCCCCTAGAATTACCTAGCTCCGCCACTTTGGGGGATGAATAACTGAAGGACTTTGACTCAACATGTCAGAAAGAGATAGGCACATGTACATGTTCACTGGAGTAGTAGTCATGATAGCCAGGACACAGACTTATCTAGATGCTGGATAATAAATGAGTGAATAAAAAATGTGGTATACGTACACAATGTAATTTTATGTAATTGACATTGCTGGACATGATGACACATGCCTTTAATCCCAGCACTTGGGAGGCAGAAGCAAGCAGATCTCTGTAGTTTGAGGCCAGCCTGGCCTACACAATGAATGAGACTCCATTTTGGAGGGGAAAAAAAATGACATTTGCAGATAAATAGCTGTAGTTGGAATCACTGTGTTAAGGGTTAATAAACCAGACCCAGAGAGACAATTAGCACATTTTCTTTTACATATAGAATGTGGATTTAAAACGATGTGGTTGAGGCTGGAAAAAGAGCTCAGCAGGTAAGAGCACCTGCAGAGGACCCAGGTTCATTCCCCACTGCCCACCCACACTACGGCTACCATCTAGAACTCTAAAGGATCAGAAGCCCTCTTTCGGCCTCTGTAGGCACTGTATACACACGGTACGTAAACATGCGGACAAAATAACCATACACATAAAAATAAAAACAAATCTTTACAATTATGTGTATGAATATATTTACTGATGTGTGTGTCTGTAGGTGAAAAATTTAGGGGCTCATAAGAGGGAAGAAAGACCTCTTAAAGAAGGTGGGAAATAGGACAACGGGCTACACACGATAAGAAAACAGGAGTCAAGCTGAAGCGGAAGAAGGCACAGAAAAGGGCATTGTGGGCAGGGAATGAAAGAAAACAAGGTATAATGACCATGTTGGGATCAGGCTGGGCCTTGCCCTGTTACTCCATGCCTTTAAAACAACAGTTTTTCAATGTTTCTTGCTCGGAGAGACACCATCTGAAGATGGAGGATGACTCCACACCTGGAATAGCACGTCCGTCAAGCGCCACCGACGCAACACAGACTGAAAAGTGACTTATCCTGGGGGAGAAAGATTGCGCCTCTATACATTTATGAGGGTAAACTGAGAAAGCAGAGGCACATGGACATAGTAAAACCATATCAGAAAGACCAGGCCCAAGAAATACCATATACAACAGACCAAGGTGAGGGTGCAACTCCCTCCCCTGGACTCCACAGAGAAGCAAACACCTTGCACTGAGATGGCATTGGTGCCGACTGACCTGGACCTGCCCTGTCCATCTGTCTACCGATCTGTCTGGACCCAGTCCTGCCCTTCTGCCCCTGCGGCTGCCTCAGCTCTGCAGCTTTACTCTCAAACTTGTGATCTGCAGGAGCCTAACTACTCACCAAAGTTTCTCCAGATTCTTTCTTGGAGCGCTGGTTCTGTCAGTTTATCGATATCTATTGTCAAATATCTATGACATTTCTACCAACTTCCCTTCTTTTCAGGATGTATGAGAACCCTTGAACTCTGCTGTAACCTCTTAACAATTTATTGCCATTTGGAACCATACATACATATATATGGTTGTGTGTATACGTGCACACATATATCATTGTGTGATCCAAGATTTGATATTAATAATTCAGATGGGAATAAAACAGCCTGTGTTCGTCTCAGTCACGGTTACCAAGGAAAGCAGGCATATCAAGTTGATGCCACAGAAACTACTGTACCTTTATTATTAATAAATTTATCATTACTCAATAAATTCTGATATTGTTGAAACATGTTCACATTTTTTACATTGTCCACTCAAAGCACATATATGAAGATGACATGATAAAAAAAACAATACTTTGGATGCTAACCTAGAAAGTTATTTTTTTATTAAGTTTTTTTCCTTACACTAAATCCTGGTGATGTCACACACAGGCTCCTTTCCTGGAGTTTGATGAGGGCGGCACTGTCCACATGCTTTGTCCCCAGCAAGGTGTCTAACAGTAAGTTCTGTAAGTGACTCATGCTTCCTCAGCTCTGAACCAGGAACTGTAGTTGAAGCCTCCAAGTATGATCATGTAAATGCCTCAGAGGCTTCAGTTTTAGTATCAGTGGGTGACCTTTAAAACATTGGAAGAGTGAGATTGGTGGTCTGCCACCCAGTGTTAACCAGTACTCAGAATTAAACAACAAAACACCATAGAAAACCAGAGTTCAAAGAATGACTTATTAAGCGGAGTTTGAAGAAAAAAAAAAATCAGAGCCTCAACATTTTTAGCTATGAAATGATTTACATGAGAATTACCTGGGGTTTAAAGACACAAGTCCATGCCTATCATCTCAGGTACTCTAGCGGCAGGAAGGTTACAAGTTCAAGGCCAGAGAGACCCTGTCTCTTCGTAGTAGAGAGGGAAATGTTCAATCCTCAGACCCGCAGAAATGAACAAGTAAATAAATAAAAATCAAATAAAGTAAAAACAAAAAGAAGCTACCAGCTACCCAAAGAATCTCATAGCCACGGACTAAGGAGAACAACCGAGTTAAATGAGATCCTTCTTTCATTCCTCCTTGACCAGCATCAACGCTGGAGACAGACACTGGTCAATAGACCGGAGCTCTACCACCACCTTGGAAGTCCTTTAGGCTACATTTCCTGCCCATGGGCCGCCATCACAGAGTCAACCGCCACAAACGCTCCTTCACCAGGAACCTAGCACGGCGATCGCCCCTCTCCTGCCGCTCCCTTCGGAGAGGCGGCTGAGGGCGAGCCGGCAGCCTAACCGAATCCGATGTCCTGGGGAATGGGAGCTAAACACCGGGTTCCAGCGCTACTGGGGAGTCAAAGCTCCGCCAGAAGCGGGCATGGGCGGAGCCTAGGGGCGTGGGCGGAACCGAAGGGCACGGGCGAAAGCGGATTGGCTGTGGCAGCTGCTTGTTAGCGCGAGGCCGGCCCCCGCTCAGGTTTCCGGGACGCGGTCCTCGGTGCTGCTCGACGAGGTGCGCGCGCGTTCTCGTCTGCCCTCGTGGCCGTGGGGCGCGTGGGACCGCGTCCAGGAGACCGAGGCCCTAACGTTCGCGCGTTCTGAAGCCACGGTCTCGGGCTGGGGCCGCGGGCGCACTGTGCTGCCGGAGAGCCGAAAGCTCTGCCGCCAGAGGGGGCTTGAAGGGCCTGGTCGAGGCCTGCACGGCCTGGCCGCCTCGCGCACACTGTCTGCGTCAGCGGGCGGAGCGGGGACCGGGCCTCGCGGGCCCTACACCCTGGTGAGCGAGCCTGGTGCCCTAGATCCACCGTGGGGACAGCCTCAGAAGTCGCCTTCCCCCTCACATGCGGACCCTGGGGAGGGCTTGGAGCCTCTTGGAGCTTGAAGACCTGAAATTCGTCCAAAATTCTCTTCTCCGAGAGCTCATTTGTGCCCCTGTAGATTATCAGATTTAGGGAACTGCTGGGGATGAGATTCCTAGAGACTGACCCAAAGCCTTGAGGTCTCCAAAAGACCCCTGTTTCATGGCAACCGGAAGGGAAACAAGGATGGTCCGTTTTTGAAGACTCATTCCACGGGTGCCCAAGGTCATGAGTGTTGATTATAAAATAAAAAAAAAAACTATTGTGAATTTTAATTACAAAATAAACGCTGTTTTAGCTTTTCTAGGGACCCTGTTACTTGGTGACCACAATGAAAAATGGGAGCCAATATGATCTGGTAATGGGCACACTTCCTAAGCGCAAGAGCTCCAAAGAATGGTTGGAACCACAGTCGCTTTCTTTTATGGAGGTATAGTGTATGACTTTTGAGGTCTTTGCTTAGAGAGGTGTTTTGTACTAACTTTGGCCCTTTTCTTCCCTGTTCTACTCCTTTGCTGCTCAGAGGAGAGCTGCTTAAAGTAGAATCACAAGCCACTGATTTATAAATCTTTTCTAATATAGCAAAGCTGTTAAACATCCACTGAAACTTGGATATGTTTTTTCCAAACATTTTTATTAAGGTATAATTGATATACAATAAATACATACACTTAAAGTGCATAATTTGCTAAGTTTTGACATGTGTATGTTCCCGAAATCATTGTTACACATCAAGATAACAAATATATTCAATATTCCCAGTTTCCTCATGTCCTTTGCAGTACCCTCCCCCATTTCCCTCATTTCCTGTAACCACGCTGTCATTATGGTTTTGCTTATTCTTAAAAAGTTTTATGCAGAAAAAACTTACATTTTTTAAAAAATTCCAGTCCTCTTCTTAGCAACTACCCGTCTCCTCAATGACTATGTTCCAATTTGTCCATCTTATTGATGGGCATTTGGGTTGTTTCCAATTTGGAGCAATTAAAAGATTTTCTAACTGGGCAATGGTGGTGCACCTTTAATCCTAGCACTAAGGAGGCAGAGACAGGCGAATCTTTGTGAGTTCAAGGCCAGCCTTGTCTACAGAGTTCCAGGACAGTCAGAGCTACACAGAGAAACCCTGTCTTGAAACACCGAAAATAAAAATAAATAAATAAAAAATAAAGCTCTTTTAAGCATTCACATTCATGCCATGGTATGGACATTTTTCATTTTCCATGGGTAACATTTAGTTGTGAGGTAAATTAACATTTTGCGAAGCTGTCAAACTATTTCCCAAAGTTGTTATTTTACATTCCCACTAGCAGCGTATGATAGTTACAGTTTTTTTCATGTTCTAGCCAACATTTGGTATAGTATTAAGTTTTATTGTATAGTTAAAAGACTGTTAACCTAATAAGTCATTAAGACATCTTTGCTTGCTATTTATCTTTGGTGAAGTTTATTCAAATATTTTGTTCTTTCTAGAATTAGGTTATTATTGAAATTTTAATATTGAGATATAATATGAGATATATTTTAATATGAGATATATAGATCATTATAGTCACTTCTTTAAAATGTACAATTAAGTATCCTTTCAGTTTTTTTCACAAGGCTTTGTCACTTCTACTATTCTAGAATATTTTCATCATTCCTAAGAAGAAGCTATTTCCTTCGGCAATCGCTCCTCATTCTCTTTGCCCTCTACTTTCTATTTCTGTGAATTTGCCTATCCTAGGCATTTATACAAATGAGTCGTACATGGCATATGGTCCTTTGTGACTGACTTCTTTCCCTTGAAATAATGTTTTCAAAGTTCAACTATGCACTCATGCTTTTTAGACAGTTTTTTATATGTGTGTGTACAGGTGTTTGCATACGTCAGAAGGGGGTGTTGGGACCCTTGGAGCTGGAATTATGACGGTTGTAAGATACCTGATGTGGGGCTGAGAACTGATCTCATTATGGTCCTCTGGAAGAGGAACAAGCACTCTTCACCACCAAACTTTCTCTTTAGCTCCTACGTCCTCTTTTTTCTTTCTTTCTTTCTCTCTCTCTCTCTCTCTCTCTCTCTCTCTCTTTCTTTCTTTCTTTCTTTTTTGGTTTTTCAAGACAGGGTTTCTCTGTAGCTTTGGAGCCTGTCCTGGCTCTAGCTCTTGTAGACCAGGCTGGCCTCAAACTCACAAAAATTCGCCTGCCTCTGCCTCCCGAGTGCTGGGATTAAAGGCGTGCACCACCACCGCCCGGCATCCTAAATCTTCCTTTTCATGACCAAATACTATCTCAGTGCTTGGATGCCACATTTTATTTCATCAGGGACTGAACATTTGAGTTGTTTCTAGTGTTTTGTTGTTATGAACATTGTTCTCATGAACATTTGTATACGACTTTTAGTGTGAACATGTTTTCAGTTCTTTTGTAACATAGGACCTGTACCTAACGTTTTGGGAAACGAGCAAAGAGATTTCCAGGACAACTGCACCATTTTATATTCTCAGCAGTGTATGAAGGCTCCAATTTCTCCACTACTTGGAGTTTATTGAACTTCTTGTATTTGTGGGCTGACAGTTTCTGAAAATGCCCTTCCTCTTTCAGGTATTATTTCCTTCCTTCCCTCCTCACACCCCCACTTCTGTCTCTCTGACAAGTCTCTGCGTTGTCCATGCTGTTCTCAGACTCCAGTGCTCCTGCCTCAGCCTTCTGCGGCCTGGGTTTCCAGATGTGTCACTAAGCCTAGGTCTGAAGTCAGTTATTTCTAGTGCTGTACCGTCTTGTTTATGTCATAATTCTTGTTTATGTCATCTTCAATCTTCTGTTAAACTCACTAAAATTTGTGTCTTTTTAAAACGTAAGAACTGGATTTTTCCACTTTTCTTGCTTCTGTTTGTTTGCTAAGTCTGTTCTTTCATTTTTAGCATATTTTTACCCATTCCAAAATCTCCCCACCTCTTCTTTTTTTTCTTTTAGATAGGACCTTACTGTATAGTGTAGCCTGACATTCAACTCTTTGTCTTCCTGCTTCAACCTCACAAGAACCTGGAATAACTAGAATTAGGGCAGGTGTACCATGCCCACACCCCCAAAGGCCTTATATTTCAGTTACAACAAATGGACCATCCTAGTATTGCTGATGTTTTTCTTAAGTCACATTTTCCTTTTCCTCTGTGTCTATTTTAGGCAGTGTGAATGATGCATTTTAGAGGACCTTGATTCTTTTATGTCATTGTGAGGAATATTAAACTTCCCAGACACTTAACTTTGCTGAGTTCAGGCTCCAAATTTTGTCTTCCTGTTGGCAGCAGGTGAAGCCACTCTGCTTTTCTTAAGCTTTGGTTTTACTACATAGAGCCCGATCCACAGAGAGGGCAAGCGCTTACCGGAGATTTTGCCCGTCCTTTCGTGGGCTTTGCAGCACTCTTTATGTGACCCTCTTAGAGATGTCTTCTCTTATCTCCCATCTCATAATGGTTGGGCCTGAGGGTGTGGTTCAGTGATAGAGCACTTGCCTAGCTTGCACAAGCTTAATCTCCAGCACTGCTAAGGAAAACATCTTCCATAGTTACCAGTCAGTAAGACTGCATTCATGGGAGTTTTCTCGACCTCCATTAGCTCTGGCTGAAACTAGTTGGGCACGAAGGGATGGGACTGTGTGGGCACTTTGGGCCACTCTCCAGGGCCTTCAGATTGCTGTTTTTGTGTTGTTTTGTTTTGTTTGTTTTATTTTAGTTGGAAGCTAGAACATTAATCCACCACCCATCTTTGTTGAGGACAGCAATCTTGTCAAAATCAGCAACTCTCTGTACAAAAGGAGGAAAGAAAATGAATTCTGGAACCAATGATATTGGTTCATACCTGTAGTCCTTGCACTTGACAAGTTGAGGCAGGAGGATCACAAGTCTAAGACTCCTGAACAAGATTTAGGCTAGTCTAGAATACATAATCAGACTCCATTACCCACAAAATAGTAGACACATATTTGAGTTTGAATTGTGGTTCAGTTGTGTTTGGTGGCATACAACTTTAAACCCAGTACTCAGGAGTCAGAGAGGCAGGCAGATCTCTGAATTTGAGGATAATCTGGTCTACATAGTGAGTTTTAGAACAGCCAGGGCTATAAAGTGATTCCCTGTCTCAAAATGAACAACAACGAAAAAGCCCACCAAGCCCACACAAAAATACATAAATTTATTAGGCGGTTACAAGGTCTTCATTAATAATAAATGTATTTATTTCAATTATATGTATGACTGTATTGCCTTTGAGAAAAAATGTTTCAGTCTATCAAGCTGGTAGATTGTTATAGAAAATTAGTTAGAGAAACATACACAGGCCTGTAATCCCAGCACTTGGGAGACCAAGACGAGGACTGGATTGGCACTAGTTTGAGGTCAGCCAGGGCTATATAATGAGTCCTGGCCAGTCTGGCCTACAGTCTAAGATCCTGTCTTAGAACAGTGTAAGAAGACTTTAAGAGCAAATGTCTCTATTTCAATCCACCATTCTTATATTTTGTAAAGATCCAGCCATATATTTGATTATACTTTTATATTTCATATTTATTTATAAGTTTGTGGATAAAAAATGTAATCCATGACTCATATTATCCACAGTCTTTACATTTTAGTATTTGTTCATTTATTGATTGATTGATGGGTTGGTTTCTTCAAGACAGAGTTTCTCTGTGTAGCCCCGGTTGTCCTGGAACTCACTTGGTAGACCAGGCTGCCCTCGAACTCACAGAGGCCTGCCTGCCTCCTGAGTGCTGGGATTGAAGATGTGTGCCACCATGCCAGGCTCTACATTTTTGTTTTTAAAAAGCAATTTTCAAAGTCAAATCAGTAGGTAAATTCGTTATAAAAGAGTAAGAATAGAAATAGGAAATGTAATGAAGCCTTTCTCTGACCTTGTGTTGTTTTATTTTAGTAACTTTTTTCTAGGATTAGGTTTGCCTAAGGTGTGTGAAACTCATAGTCTTCCATTAGACATACAGAGAGATTAGTCTGTCATGTAGAGGCCTGTGCGTGTCTATCTTAACCCAGAAAGGTAAAAACATTTGCCAGATGTGGGAAAAGGGTTCTACTATGACATGACTCTGGCAAGTCATTTGATTGTTCTGGGACTCAAAATGCCTGTGAGGTGAATTTTTTTTTTTTTTTTGCCCTACAATGAGCTGTTACCAAGCGCAGAAAGATAAAAAGAGTCTTTGACAAAGCACTTAGTGATACAGAAACATTGGATTTACAGAGAATGTTTCAGGGATATGCCTTTCATATAAAAATATAATAACAGAATGTTTCAGGGATATGCCTTTCATATAAAAATATAATAAGCTCAGATAATGCTAATGATTTTTCAAGATCTGATTTTTGAACTAATTCCGTTCTTTTAGGCTTTAGCTAAAGAAGACACTGATGCAGCTGTTCAATCAATTTTATACAGAGAAAATTATGTAATGAAGGTAAGAATTAGCTACAAAATGCATCTTAAATATTTTTTTTATTTTCCATGTAGTTTCTACTTAACAACTTTGAGTAAAACTTGAAGTTTTAAATAATTAGAAAATAGAATTAAAAACACTCATTAGCAATTGGGATTAAGTGGAACACATCTCTGAGAGTGTTTTAATGACTGCCAATCTCCTGTGCTTTGGGGGACTTTCTTCAGTGTTGTACCTGCCCACACATGTACGTGTATATCACACACACACACTCATAAAATAATTTTGCTAGAATGACTTCACTTATAATGTATGCAAAGTTTCTATATTTTCTCTCCTCCCACTGTGTGGTATATTTGATCTATTTTAATTTAATTTAATTTAGTTTTGAGATCAGGTTTTCCTGTGTAGCCTTAGCTATCCTGGAACTTGCTCTGTATATCAGGCTAACCTCAAGCTCAGAAATCTGACTGGCTCTACATCCCATGCACCACCTCTGCCCAGCTTAAATAAAATTTTTATTTATTGTTATTGTATATATGTGTATGTATGATATATGTGGACACACATGCCATGGCACACATGTGGAAGTCATAGACAACTTTACATAATTGGTTCTCTTCTTCACCATTATATGGGTTCTGGGGGTCACACTTAGGTTGCCAGGCTTAAGGGACAAACTTATTCACCTGCTAAGTCATCTCACTGACCCAGCGTATTTGATTATCAAGAGGGTGGGCATGTGCCTCCATTGTCCATGTATCCTTGTTTTTGGCAGTATGTGCCAAATGATGAAAGCCTTATTTATTTGTTTGTTTGTTTGTTTGTTTGTTTTGCTGTGAGTGCTATGTATGCCTGTATACCAGAAGAGAGCATCAGATCCCATTATAGATGGTAGTAAGCCACTGATGAGGTGGCTGGGAATTGAACTCTGGGCCTCTGGAAGAGTGACCAGTGCTCTTAACCACTGAGCCATCACTCCAGCCCCCAGTGGTGGATTATCCTAAAGAATAATTTAAGCTATGCAGTTTAAGTTTTATAAAATTTTAGGAGCTAAAAGCTTCAGGATAATTTTTTTTCTTTCTGACACTGTTTACTAGGAATTAGATAAGTATTTAAATCATCATGACTTCTTAAATGCAAGAAGAAAAGAAATGCTGTATAAAAAATGGGTTGAGCGTGTGGAAGATCCTCTACAGAAGAAAATTATAGAAAAAGTTTCTTCACATAAGAAGATTAAAAAGAGGAGACGACAAGAATTAGAGAACTTTTTGAGATATGTTAATAAGAAGGTACTAAGAGGTCATTTTGTACTTTTATAGTGGTTTAAAAATCATGTTTATCTGTGCTCACTGGCTGTGCAGTCATCCAGAGTCCTGCCTCTTCCTCTTCTATTTATGTACAACCAATACTCTGATATAAGCAATCTATTCTTTAAAAAAATTAAATTGTATTTATTTATTCTTCTCTCTCTCTCTCTCTCTCTCTCTCTCTCTCTCTTTCTCTCTCTCTCTCTCTCTCTCTCTCTCTCTCTGTGTGTGTGTGTGTGTGTGTGTGTGTGTGTGTGTGTGTGTGTGTGATGAGCTCTTGGAAGTCAGAGTTCTCTTCCTACTGTATTAGTTCAAGGGATTGTACTGAGGCCATCAGTCTGGTGGTAGGACCTTTACCCACTAAACTGTCATGTTCATGAAGGGATGGCATTGATGCATTGATGCTATTCTGAAGCATAAGACTGGAACTTTGTAGGGCTGGGACTGTAGCTCAGAGCCTCAGGTTTGTCCCTTATGACTGAGGACAAACTGTTAAACTTTTGAGTTCCGTTATCCTCAAAGTTAATTGTGTACCTCTTATGTGCAGTTTTATTTCCTTCCTATAGGAAAATGCGTTTATAGAGCATTATGATCCAAAAGAGTACGACCCTTTTTATAGGAGCAAAGAGGACCCCAATTTTCTGAAGGTAGGCAGGTTTTTAACCATGGTGGTATGTGTGTGATTGTTTTAAGTGTCCTTAACTTATGTGTTGCTTGCCCTTGAGTGAGTTCTTAAAGTTCAGTAGCACTGTTAGTAGTTCCCTACCTAGTATTTTAGAAAAGGAATAAATAACCCAAAGGCCAAAGATGAATTAATCTCAGAAAGTGTGAAAATGTATAATAATTGAGTAATAGGAAATGTTTAAATATTTTCAAAGACTTTAGATTTTGTTACAGAAGTAATATGTTCTTTTGTTTTGTTTGTATTTTGAGACAGGGTCTCTTTATGTAGTGTTGGCTGTTCTGGAACTCACTATGTAGACCTGGCTGGCCTCACCGAGAACCGCCTGCCTCTGCCTCTCAAGTGCTGGGATTAGAGTTCTGATGAGTTCTTATAATAAATGAGAAAACTAACTTTAAATTCAGAATATAAAAAAAATAAAATAAAATTCCAGTAACTGGAAGTTTCTCTCCCACCTGCTAGTTCTCGAGTAACCACTGGGAGGCTTAAAATTAATTATAAATGTTAGGCCAATGGCATGGGCTTATTTCTTGCTAGCTCTTACATTTAAATTAACCAGTTTCTATTAATCTAAGTATTGTCTAGTGGCCCTGGCATTATTGGTCTGTTGGCATTTGTTCATAGGATGGCTGCTGGTGTCTTCCTGGCTCTGCCCTTCTTCATCTGTATCTCTGCTTGGATTTTCACCTGGGTCTATCCTGCCTTGCCCATAGGCCAAAGGAGCTTTATTTATCAACCAATGAGAACAACACATATTCACAGTGTATAGGATCATAATTAATCTTGATAATAAAAACCAGGGGTCAGATATTTGTCAGAACACAAACAAACAAAATATCACAACATTTCTACTTCCCCAAACAAACTCATTAACATTTTTATTTATCTTTCTGGACTTCTTTATCTATTTAAAACTAGTTGGTGTTAACCAAATGTTTGCTTTTCTTTCTATATATTAAGCATTCATTCTACCACTGAGCCTACTGTCTCCTAAAGAAATCCATCTCCCGTGCTGTTGTGTGAGGCAGTACAGCACAGATAGGTTATTTGTCAATTCACCCACCTATGAGCAGCAGGGCTTAAGTGAGTCTCTAGTTATTTACCACACCTTGCAATGCAGACAAATGATTTTCCTGCAGACAAATGATTTTTATGATGCTTATCTCTATAGCTGATCTGTGACCCAGAAGTTATTTTATCTATTCCCACACATGTGTATACAACCTAAAGGCATTGAGTGCCTTAGATACTGATGACGGTAGAAAGAAACAGGAAAGAGTTCTGTAGCCGTGGAGGGACAGCGTGTGCACAAGCAGCCAGAACAAAAGGCGTGTCAGAGCCAGGTGTGTCACAGACCAGCAGACGTCAGACATGCTTTAGTTGTAGTTTTGCATGGGTAGGGGCATCAGTAACATGCAAGCCAAAAGGGAAGGGGAGCATTTTCTCAGCTAAGGTTCCCTTTTCCCAGGTGATCCTACCTGTGACAAGTTGACAAGACAGCCACCCAGTGCAGATGGAGGCGAGTGAACGAGGCTCCTAGGGAGGCATTTAGAGCAGAGCAGGGCGGGAGATTGCAGACAGGCCCTCAAAGCTGTATGACCTCATAAGAAAAGTGTCAGAGAGCCCATCTCTTTTGAATGTGTTACATATAATGGGTATATGTTAACAGGTCCCATGTCTTGACTCTTCTGGCGTGAAAACACAAGGGTGCGTAGGGTCGACTGAATGCTGATACTCAGACCTGCAGCCCAGGCCTCAAAGAAGTGTGCCTCTCTTGTAGGTTATCATGCCGCCATTCCGTGACCCTTTGAAGAAAGCTCAATATGACAAGGATGATGAGAAGCGAACTCTTCTTCAGTGTGAGACTGGTACGTGGCTCTTAGGTGACTCCTAGCCTGATAGCAAAGGCAGTTGCATTTAAGCATGCTGATTTAGGTTGCTAATTTTCTTGCAGGCAAAATCTATACAATGAAAGAATTTAAAGAGATCGAGAAGGCTCAATTGCTGTCCAGGTTCCCGAGTATTTCTAATTCAAGGCAATGCATGACTCCAAATGAATGGCTTAAAGTGCCCATGAGATATATAGAGAGTGAATTTTGTAAAAAGAGCAGGTAATAATTGATGTAATAGAAGTTGTGAGCTTCCTGGACTTTGAAAATTCTTTCTTGAGACAGTGATCAATTTCAGTGATGATTTTGAAAATGAAATCTGCTGTAATTTATCGTTCCTCTGTATGTGATGTGTTTCTTGAGTTCTATCCAGAGTCTCCAATTTTGGTTTTTGTTGGGTAGGCTATGAGGTTTCTAAGCTTAGTTTTTCCTCTTAGAGTCCTCTGACATTTTTTATTTTTATCAGTATACATATTTCATTAATCTTGGGGAGAGAATCTAGACCATTATTACTTCAAATATTTCTCATGTACCATTTGTCTGATTTTAATTTCTGAGGTTCTGTGTATGTGTGACCATGGATAACATCCACAGTTTTGTAAGTATTGGATAGTGGTTGACTTTGCTTACTGTGTTTTGGTTAGATGATTTCTATTGAACTGTCTGTAAGTTCACAGAGCCTCCTTATTGTGTGCTGTCTGCTGGTGGACCCATCAGAGACACCAACTGTGATATCATGACTTTAGCTTTGCCATGTGATTTTTCAAAGTTTTCACCTTTTCCAAAATTCTTCATCTTTTAGTACACATTGTCCACTTTTTCAACCAGAATTTTCCAAAGGCCATACTAATTATAATTATTTAAATTTCTGATCTGATAGATCCAACATTAGGATCATTTCTGAATTTAGGTCAGTCTGGTTCTGTTGATTGCTTTAAATCTTGACTAGGAATTATATTTTGCCTGGGTTTTTTTTCTTGCCTTATAATTTTAAAAGATTTATTTATTTTTATGTGTTTTATCTGCGTGTCTATTTTTACATGACGTGTATAGCTGGTGCCTGCAGAGGACAGAAGAGGGCTTTGGATACCCTGAGACCAGAGTTAAGTGTGAGCCACCATGTGCATACTTTCAACATTGAACCTGGGTCTCTGGAAAAACAGTCATCTTTTTTGTTTGTTTTTGTTTTTGTTTTTGAGAGAGGTTCCCACCATGCCCTGGGCTGTCCTTGAACTCCCCCTTGTACATCAGGTTAGCTTCAAACTCAGCTCTAGAGATCTTCCTGCCTCTGTTTCCTAAGTACTGGATTTAAAGGCATGCACCCCACAACTAACCCGAATTTTATGGGGTTTTTTTGATTGAGTATCAGACACTTGAGATGGAAAAATAGTGCAGATGCAGGGTTTTTGTTTTGTTTTGTTTTATAGAAACTGACATGCCTCTTCTGCCTCCCATTAGTATTGGGGGACTTGGTTTATTAGAAGTTGATCTATGTTTGGGTATTATAGCTGTTGCCTTTAGCACTCTACAGACAGTAAAAACAAGTATGCCATGTGTGTGAAGCTCACAGAAGCCAGAAGAAGTTATTGGATCCCCTGGAACTAGAGTCTCAGGCAGTTGTGAACTGCCCATGTGGGTATTGTAAGTTGAACCTGGGTCCTCTGGAAGACCAGCTAATGCTTTTAACAGCTAAGCCAGCTGCCATCCAACTCTCCAGATCTCTAAAGAGTTTTTTTTTTAAGTTGTTATTGTTTTTAAGATGTTTTTATTTTGAATTTCTGTGTATCTATGTGATTCTGTGTATGGGTGTGGGAACGTGAGTGCAGGTGTCTGCAGAGTCCAGACAAGAATACCATCCACATCCTGGTGGTACAGGTGGTTGTGAGCTGTCAGAGTGGTTGCTGGGGACCAAACTTAGGTCATTTGGAAAAGCATGTTTTGCAGTTTAGCTATGTCTCCAGGCCTGACTTTCCTTGTTTTTGCTTGTTTGTTTTTAAATAGGAATCCATGTTATGTGAGGGCCTCAGGATGATGGCAGAAGGATAAAATAAAGAGACTGATATGATCAAAGAAAAGATTTATGCAGTTTCATACTGGAGGGTCAGAAAGAAAGTCAGAGAAAATTTGAAGTTGGAGCTCATGTGCTGAATGCAGGATTTCATGCTTGCTGGGCAGGCTCTCTGACCCTGAGCCTGTCTCCAGCCTGCTGTTTAAGAGCTGTCATCATTGTGTTTATCTCCTATGGCTGCCCTATTTGTGGCAGTCTTCTTGCCTCTGCCTCCCAAGGGCAGATAATACAGGCCTGTTCTACTACATCTGACTTTATGACTTCTTTCTACATTAGAGTGTAAACTCCCAAGGATTAGAGGGAGGGGTTCAACTTCACCTGCCTAATCTTAGTTCTCAGCGAACAGCACACCAGTCTCCATCATGGTTTCAGAAGCTCTTAAACAGCTAGTATCATTGAGAAAGTATAGCAGGATCAAGTGTTGGTATTTTGGATCATATTTATAGCAGTCAGTATCTAATGATCATTAAAGTTTAAATTCAAATGAGCACTGTTTCCCAATGACCTGACACATACTTTCTTGTTAAAGGGTCAAAGTGAAGGTGAATTTTAATGCTGGTAGTTTTGATTTGAATCCACGGAGAAGGGTGCCTGATATTGTGGAATTCCAGAAGGAAGAAAAGGCGGTCAGTTACAAGTAAGCCTCTTGTTTTATAACTTTGCTCTCCTTTCATTTAAGATGCTTAGCTATGTTGCCTTCCCTACCAGCCTTTCAGATTGCTTGAGTTAGTGCCAAGGCCTCACACAATGTCAGGGTTAGGAGACTTTTCTTTGTTTGAAGGAACACATAGCACAAAAGCAACAAATACAAAAATGGGGCTGGGGGAGATGGTTAACAACTTGTACTAAAGTTATGAGAATTTTAGATTGAGACTAGTTTTGGCAGGTATAGTCAGAAAAAGACCTGTGCCAGAGTGAAAAGGTACAGCAGGGAAGTAATTCATAGAACTATGTGTGCAACATGGGAAATAAGTTATTAGGTACTGATTAGTTAAAAATGAGAGGTTTCATACACAAAAGAGCTGGGTGGTAGTACATACCTGTATTCCAGTACTTGAGAGGCTGAAGCAGGAAGATCTTAATTTTGGATATAGCCTGGGCTACATAGCAAGATCTTCCTGAGAAAACGGTGTGGGGATAGAGATTTCTCTACATAGTTATAGAAAAAGGTAACTTCTCATAATCTGATTAAAAATAATAGAATCCTTCATCATTGCTAGAGGGAGTTAAAAATAGTGCAGAAACTTTGGGAAACAGTTTGTCAGCTTTCCAGAATGGTAAACATTACATTACCATGTGGCATAGTTCTACTGCTGATTTTATTTGAGTGGGGTGTGTGTGTGTGTGTGTGTGTGTGTGTGTGTGTGTGTGTGTGTGTGTGGTGTGAAACATGGTTCTCACTGTTTAGTCCCCTGGCTGACCTAGAATTCATTTTTGACTCTGCCTCTAGAGTGCTGGGATTAAAGACATATACTATTATTCCCAGCCTACTGCCAGGTTTATATTCAGAAGAAATGAAAACATAGATCCAGCTGGGTGGTGGTGGCACACACCTTTAATTCCAACATTCAAGGCAGAGATTAAGTTATATTTATTTATGTATTTATATATATTGTGTGTGACAGAGAAATGGGAAAGAGAGGAAGAAGGAGGGACGGAGGGAAGGAGGGAGGGAGGGAGGGAGAGAGAGAATGTGAACATGAAAGTGTGTATTACAGCACAGAGGCAGAATTCGCCCAAGTTCTCTTCTTCTGCCATGTAAGTCCCATGGATCAAACTCAAATCATCAGACTTGACAGTAAGTGTTCTTACTACTGACCCATCTTGTTGACCCAATAATCAACATCTTAATTGTAATTTCTGTCAACAGGACAAAGAAGGTTTTCATAAACCTCTCAGAGTGTGACTCAGACAATTGTTTGCATTGTTGGATACCTGGAACTTTTGTTTTAGACTAGAGGCTTTAGTCTTCCAACTCCCTCTGGAAAAGGAGTAAGACTAGGTTCCATGAATGAGAGAAGTAGCCCAGTGATAGCAATAGGTGTGGAGAAAGCAGGTGTTGTGTAATTTGGGGGGAGTTATACAGTTAATACCTGCCCCCAAACTGGACCAGTGCCAACAACCCCAAAATGACTTATTCAAGTTTATCCTTTTGTTTTGCTTTTCCAAACAATTTCTCTGTGTGGCCCTGGCTGTTCTAGAACTTACTCTGTAGACCAGGCTGGTCTGGAACACAGAAATCCACTTGCTTCTGCCTCCCCAGTGCTGGGATTAAGATATGCCTGCCTCCCTTTCGATCAAGTTCATTTTAATGAGTACAGTGAATTTATTAGAGGTTAGTTATGGAGCAGTGAGTAAGCATGGCCCACTCCACTCTTCCCTCTCTCTTCCTAGTTGTAGCACCACCCTTTACTAGCCCTGTGTACAACTTTAAGTCTTAAGCAGGATTCATGTAAACCTGGGTTTGGAGTGCTACCTACCAGCAGCATAGGCAACTATGGCATGGACAACATGGGACACAGAAAACAGACTCTAGGAAAGAAAGATACATGAATGTGTGCTCCATCCTTCTTCTTAAAGGCTCTGTCTTGGCAGACACTGTGCAGGAATGGAAAGGGTGGCTTATTTAGCTGAAGTCTGGCATAAGAATACCTAACAATGGCAGCATGCTGCAAGACAGAGTCACTCTGACCAGTATTTGGAGGACCAATTTCACTAGGTCAGGCTGATTTTAGGTCAGTTTGGAGCTTCTCAGGGATAGCAAATGTACAATGCTGAGGGCATTGTTCAGGACAAAGGACTATCACTCAGCTGTTGATTATATAGTTTCAACAAATATAATACTACAACAAGGTGGTTACCTTTTACTTTTCATAAGAATGTGAGTTCATACAGATCTCATAAACTTAGAGTTTAAATGAAAACGTTAAGTTCTTCTACTGAATTAAATGTTAAAAGGATTGCTCCTGGTTCTTCCTACAGAAACAAAGGACTTTCCTCTCTGGACAGTGAAGATCTGTGTTTCCAGGAAGGGAAAAACCCAAGTTCCAAAGGGATCAGTGCTGAAGGTTGCCATTCTTCTGCAGCCCTCTGCCAGGAGGTAGAAAGGAACAGGGACCAGGATGCGGTGAGAGCTGGCACAGTCAGTCCCATTTTGTGATACACAGAACAGCACTTGCTGACACCCAGTCCAAGCAGCTGGGAACTTCTTGATATGGTAGGCTTTGCAGAAGCCAGGATGCTGTTGAGCACATCGTTAGTGGGTAGTAGAAGAAACTAAGACCAGTATCATTCAGAGGCAGTGGAAAGTGTCCTTACAGCCTGATAGAGCCACATAGTGGACTTCCCAAATGTTCTAGTACTTCCTTGGCTCTCCCAAGTTGACTCTTGATTGGGTAATCTGTCTACTACCTCTACCCTCTTTCTCTGATTTACCTTAGTCAAGCCAGGCTCCCTGAAATGTTTCTTTTAATTCAAATCAAGAATTAGTTTTAAAAAGGGCCAATACTAAAAGCAGTAAGCTCTAAGAAGGAAAGTAACAGCTCCCAAATGTAGACTGCCTAGAGATACAGGTGTTCATAGAGACCTCCATCCCACAGAAACTCCAGTTCTGTGGTGTCATGTGACAGAGCTAGTCTGACACAAGTAGGTCTAGAGGGTAATATTACACTTCAGTTTCCCTTCCCATTGCTGTGTCCCGTACGATGGGGACAGTCTCTTCTCCGAGGGGATTTGTTTTATCCATTCCTGAGAGTTTACTAAACCTGTCAGCACTCTGTTTTGCCGTCTTTGCCTGTCATTGTTTAGTTCTTTTTTTCCATGTGATTGCTTACTTTGTAGCCTACATCTTAACAAATACCTGTTCTGAGTCAGACAGCATGTAAGAGGCTGGATCCATAATGGTGAACCTCAGGGAAATCTCTGCCATTGTTGAGCTTTTGACGGTAAAGATAGAGAACAATCAAAATAAATGTAGAACAGGTGAGTTGATGAAGTAAGGAGAAGAAAGTAGAGAAGGACAGCAAGGAAGGGGATGGATGAGGGCACCATTTTATTTTTTTAAAAAATATTTATTTATTATTATGTATACAGTATTCTGTCTGTGTGTATGCCTGCAGGCCAGAAGAGGGCACCAGACCCCATTACAGATGGTTGTGAGCCACCATGTGGTTGCTGGGAATTGAACTCAGGACCTTTGGAAGCGCAGGCAATGCTCTTAACCTCTGAGTCATCTCTCCAGTCCCGAGGGCACCATTTTAAATAGAGAAACCAGGAAAGGCTTCCTGGAAGAGATGACATTGTACAGTGGCCTTAGAAACTGAGGATGGGATGGCATGATATGTTGTAAAAGGAGCGGTGGGCTGTGTTCCTGACACCCGGCTGCCAGCCACAGCTAGCTTATATGCCGAAATAACAACAACAAATTGTATTCATTTAAACACTGCCTGGCCCATTATATTTAGCCTCTTATTGGCTAACTCTCACATATTGATTCAACCCATTTCTAATTTCTAATAATCTGTATCGCCACTTGATTGGGGCTTACTGGCATGAGTCTAATCAGTGTCCATCTTGGAGAGGAGAGCCATGGCGTCTGCCTGACTCTGCTTTCTTTCTCCCAGCATTCTGTCAGTCTACTCCACCTATCTAAACTGCTGTCCTATTAAAAGTCCAAGGCAGTTTCTTTTTTTGACCAATGAAAGCAACACATAGGAAGAAGACCCTCCTACACCAATGATGGAGCACATCTTCAATTCCAGCAGTTGGGAAACAGAGACAGGAATACCTCTGTGAGTTCGAAGCCAGCCTGGTCTATAAATTGAGTTCCAGGACAGCCAGGGCTACACAGAGAAATCCTGTCTTGAAAAATAAAAAAAAATAAAAGTAAAAAATAAAAAAAAAGGAAAGGAACTGAGGGTAGACCACGGAGAGTTTTAGGGGAAGCATATCCAGGGAGAAGATTGACACAGCAGCTTGAGGAGGGAATGAGGCTGACAAGAGGGGACTGGAGAAGAGGTCGATACCACTCAGAAGCCATTCATTATACACATACCTAAGTGACTTTGGGGGAAGGCTTTTATTATTTTCCTTTTTTTTTAATTGGTTGTTGTCTAGTTTCTTAGAAACAGGATTTCATGATTTCATGTAGCCTAGACTGGCCTTGAACTCTTTATATAGCTAAGGGTAGCTTTGAATTCTTTATCCTTTTGCCTCCACCTCCCACGTGCTAGGATTCCAGGTGTGCACCATGACACCTGACAAAGTGACACTATAAAAGAAGACATGGCTGCTTTGTAGCCAATTATATGCAGGCCAAAACAGTCTGGCTAGTAGACCAGGTCACTGGATCAGGAGCACAGTACCTTGATGTCTAGTGATGGCTGTGTGGTCATGGGACCTAAGGAGAGAGCAAGATAACAAAGCTATTAATGTTTGACATGAGAAACAAGTGAAAGCAAGAAACCAATGACAACTGTGTTCTTGAGGTTTTTGTCTTAAGGAGCCTGGATGGATGATGGTCCTACTTCTGATTATAAAAGTTGGACTGGAACTTGGAGAGATTAAGGAAGAAGTACAAAAATGAGACAGTGCTTCCTGGGGCTAAATTAAAGATACCTTTACCATTCCAATGTATATTTATAGGATATGATTACTGAGTAATTTAACTTTTTCTCTAGCTGTTCATTAAAACATGTTCTGGATGTAGCCTGGTGTTCTAGGACTAGGATGTAGCCTAGTGGAGAGTATTTACCTATCATGTGTGAAATTCAGTCTCCAGCATTCTCTTTCTTAAAAAAGAAACAGACGAACAAGGAAGGAAGCAGTAAGCATGTTCTGTAAAGGTAGTTTCCCCTAGCCTAGGTGTCCTCAGATGCTAAGTGTAGTCAGAATACAAAGGCTGTCACTTCTGTAGTTAGCATGACTAAGTGACGGAATGACTGTGTGCTCCTCCTAGACTGGAATTTGCTGTGAAGACCAGGTGGGTCTCAAACTCACAGATCCCTGACAGCTTCTGCTTCTGGAGTGCTAGGATTAAAGGAAGATCTCCCTCTCTCCCTCCCTTCCTCTCTCCCCTCTCTCTGTCTCTGTCTCTGTCTCTCTCTCTCTCTCTCTCTCACACACACACACACACAGGTTCTTGAAGACTCATCTTCACACATTTAGAACATAACATTTACTCCCTAACAGATACCAAGACTAAAATCAAGCATATTTTAGTAATATTCAGCTGTATTTAGCAACATTTATCTTTTACCTCAACCTCCCAGAGGAGCTGTGGAGTGGGCAGGTAGGTATAATCTGGAGGTCAAAGGAAATACAAGGTTGGATGTGCATATCATGTGATTTGAAGTCACAAGATAACCTGAGAATGAGTTTCCAAAGGTCTGATGGCTAGATTCTGTGAGCAGTGTCAACTCTAGCCAGAATGACTCTGGGGGATCAGCTCCCATAGCCAAGGAACTTTCTGGTCCTGTAAGCCCTTTATTACTATGTCACACTCAACTTCTTTGTTGCTTTCAAAAGGTTGCGACAACCACACATCCTGATTCCTGATCTGAACAAGGACCCACAAAAAAAGGCTGCTTTAGACGAAGTTACCTGGCAGGAATCCTTCTGAGGCAGACCAAGGAAGAAACATAAAAATCATCCTGTTCTCTGCAATAAACTTCTTTTGATTTAGAGTTCAGTGCCTGTGATGATTAAGAAATTACAATGTAAAAAAAACAAAACAAACAGAAAAACCGGGTGTGGTGGTGCATGCCTTTAATCCCAACACTTGGGAGGCAGGCAAGTGGTTCTCTGTGAGTTTGAGGCCAGCCTGGTCTACAGGATGAATTCCAGGACAGCCAAGAATACACAGAGAAACCCTCTCTTGAAAACAAAAGCAAAAAGAAATGACAGTACATTTCCCCAAAAGTGTATTTTCCTCTGAAGTTAAAAAGTTCACAGAAGGGGCCAACAAAAAGAGCCATCTTCCTGAATGCCTGTCTCAATTCACTTGACTTGTGACTGAGTTAGTCTTTCTGCCTAGGAATCACTGAAATTGAGCTTTAAAGTATCAATTGTATTGTCATATTTGATTGCAATGCCATATTTATTATTTGCCTTATACCAGGAGTATTCTAGGCTCTTGCCTCCAATCTACACATGGTTCCAGGTGAAAACTTAATTAAAAATTGTGAAACATTATGTTGTGGGAAATTTCAGAAAAGTATATACAAATAGAGATAATTGTATAAGAACCCCTCATCCAATCTCAATAAAAAAAAAAAATTATGGTCTGTCCTCACCTACTTTTCAACCACAACGGATTGTGGAAGTAGTTCCTAGATATGTTTTCAAAAAACGCCTGTCCAGGTGGTAGCGAGTGGACTCATGGGAATGACAATTCCAAATACTTCCCAAGTCCTCAGAGCCTCGACCCCGTAGGGGCCTATCTGGATGTAATCCTTCCTTCCAGAGGCCGATGCAGGAGGAGCACAAGGTCCAGGCCAGACCTGGTGCGTAGGCTTAAGATGAAATGTAAAAGGTTTCAGATATTGTTACATTACATATTTTCACAGTATTTAATATTTGTCAGGTGCGCACAATTTGCTATCATGACACATTAAACACTACATTTGTGTTTATATTTTTTTATTTTTCATATTAAACTACTAGCATTATAAGCTTCATCTAGGGACTGTGGCATCCCTGCACACGCACAAGCTGAGGAGAAACACCCGCGAGAGGCAAGGGAGAGGTGTAAAAACTGCTCTAGTTTTCTGTCAGCGGGCCATTCCAGAGACGTTGGTGTCGCAGATCACGTGACCCTGCTTCATGCTTCGACAGGGCCCGAGACACCACCCACGGGAACTGACGGAGGCAGGGTGCAGGATGCCCAGGGTAGAAACCAGCCTGAGAGCAGCCCGACCCTGAGGCAGCCTGGGAGGCCTGTGGGTCTGAGGTGACCAGACCAGCGCAGGAGAATCCATCCGAGGGGAGGGGAGGCCTGTGGCCCTGAGGCAACCAGACAAGCACAGGAGCTTCCATCTGTGGGAGGGTAACCTGCCACTAAGAGTTTCCATCTGAGAAGGCCACCCTTACCGATTCAAGATGCCTTCAGCCCAGGAGCATCCATCTGAGAGGAAGCCTGCAGCCTGAGGTGGCCACCCCTCCCAGTTGAGGGCCCAAGGCTACGCATCCTGTGTTGCCTCCTGCTTTGGTCCCCAGAACAGCGTGGGAAGGACAGCGAGGCACACCCGGGTCTCTAGGACACAAGAAAGAGGGGCTGAGTCCCTAAGGCCCTGCTTTTTCCACATCGATACAAAAAGTTCCTCAGTTTTTCTTGCTCAGAGATTCTATTATTTATGGCTGCCACAAAAACTTGGAGCTGTGATGACTATTTCAGTGTGGACAAACTAATGGAATGGCCAGAGCCGGAGTCTGTTTCTTTAATGGAGGTAACAGCATGGCTTTTTCTCCCCTTTCTTTTCCTTTTTTTTCTTCCTTCCTTCATTTCTCCCCCCTCCTTCCTCCTTCCCTCTCTTCCTTCTCTCTTCCCTTCTTGCTTTTTCATAAGAAGCAGGATAATGTAAATGGAGCCCATTGATAGTTCCAATTGTGAATCCACTGTCAGGATTGGCTTGGCTTAAAAAGGCTGAAAGGTTTGATTTTTGAGATGTTGTCTTTCCAGGAGACACACAATTCCTTGAGTTTATAACCAGTTTGGCCTCAATCACTCATCTGTTTCCAATATTAGAACAGTTCTTCTTGGCTTAGGTTGGGTATGCAGGAAGAGTCAGTGAGTGGGAGCACCTGGGTTCAGATTTGGCCAAATGCCATCCTGAAGGACAGACGGCAGCAGCTGGCTGCCAGGCAGGTAAACACGACAAGTCAAATTTGTCCAAAGCGCTTCAGTTTTATGGGATTCTATGGTTTGCCTCATTAAAAAGCAAGCTCTTGAGACTTTATCTTGCCCCCTCTGTCATGGTGGAGAGAAGAGTTGTGAAAAGTGAGTTCACTATTTTTGTGTTTCTGAACAGCGGATTTCAGAGGAGCTGCTACGGATGATTAGTTCGTCTATATTTTCTAAAAAAATATGCAAAGAATGATTTATCAATGACAATGACTATCTAAATCTCTCTTTTTTAAAAAAAAAAGTTACATTTTTTTTTTTTTGTTTTGCTTTGTTTTACTTTTTCTGAGACAGGGTTTCTCTGTAGTTTTGAAACCTGTCCTGGAACTAGCTCTTGTAGAACAGGCTGGCCTGGAAATCACAGAGATCGGCCTGCCTTTGCCTCTCGAATGCTGGGATTAAAGGCCTGCGCCACCACTGCCCATTACATTGGTTTATAGGTGTGTGCTTGCAGAAGGCAGACACACAGGTGGTGTAGCATGCATTTGGAAGCCAAAGGACAACTATCAGGAGCGGGTTCTCTCTTCCATGGGTCCCTTGGATTGAACCCAGCTGGTCAAGCATGGTAGCAAGTACTTTTACCAGCTGAGCTTTCTTGACAGCCTCTCTCATATTATTGTGATTATTATTATTACTATTATTTTATTTATTTATTTACATATTTAATAGTAGACCTAGCTGGCCTTGAATTTGTTATGTAGTGTGGAAAGTCCTTCTGTATATGTGTTGTTTTTATTGGTTAATAAAGAAGCTGCTTTTGCATATTTAACAAGTGGTGCTGGCATAACTGGATATCAACATGTAGAAGAATGAAAATAGACCCATATCTATCACCATGCACAAAACTCAAGTCCAAATGGATCAAAGACCCCAACATAAAGCCAGCCACACTGAACCGTATAGAAGAGAAAGTGGGAAGTACACTTGAATACATTGGCACAGGGAACCACTTCCTAAATATAATCCTAATAGCACAGACAGTGAGAGAACCAATGAATAAGTGGGACCTCATGAAACTAAAAAACTTCTGTAAAGCAAAGGACACAGTCAACAAGACAAAACAACAGCCTACAGAATGGGAAAAGATCTTCACCAACCCCACATCAGAGGTCTAATCTCCAAAATATACAAAGAATTCAAGAAATTGGTCATCAAAAGAACAAATAGTCCAATTAAAAAAAATAGAGTACAGACCTAAGCAGAGAACTCTCAACAGTGGAATCTAAAATGGCTGAAATGCTCAACATCCTTAGCCATCAGAGAAATGCAAATCAAAACAACTCTGAGATTCCATCTTACACCTGTAAGAATGGTCAGGATCAAAAACACTGATGACAACTTATGCTGGAGAGGTTGTGGGGAAAAGGGAACACTCCTGCATTGCTGGTGGGAATGCAAGCTGGTACAACCGCTTTGAATGTCAGTGTGGTGATTTCTCAGAAAATTAGGAAACAACTTTCCTCAAGACCCAGTAATACCACTTTTGGGTATATATCTAAAGGATGCTCAATCGTGCCACAAGGACAGTGCTCAACTATGTTCATAGCAGCTTTGTTTGTCATAGCCAGAACCTGGAAACAACCTAAATGCCCCTCGTCCGAAGAATGGATAAGGAAAAATGTGGTACATTTACACAATGGAGTACTACACAGCAGAAAAAAATAACAACATCTTGAATTTTGCAGGAAAATGGATAGAGCTAGAAAACATTATTTTGAGTAAGGTAACCCAGACATAGAAAGACAATTATCACATGTGCTCACTCATAGGTGGTTTTTAAACATAAAGCAAAGAAAGCCAGCCTACAAACCACAATCCCAGAGAACTTAGACAACAATGCAGACACTACAAGAGATTTATGTAGCTAATCTACATGGAAAGTAGAAAGCAGAAAAAGACAAGATCTCCTGAGTAAATTGGGAGCATGGGAACTTTGGGGGAGGGTTGAATGGGGGAGGAAAGAGGCAGGTAAGGGAGCAGAGAATAATGTAGAGCTCAATAAATATCAATAAAAATGTATTAAAAAGGAAGAAGCTGCTTTTGGCCAATGGCTTAATAGAACATAGCCAGGCTGGAAGAGATATATAGAGAGAGAGTAGGTGGAGTCAGAGAGAAGCCATGTAGCTGCTGCTAGAGACCACCGAAACTTTGACTGGTAGGTCACAACCTTGTGGTGATGCACAGATTAATGGAGATGGGTTGGTTTAGAATGTAAGAGCTCGTCAATAAGAAGCTAGAGCTAATAGGTAAAACAGTGATTTTTAACAATTTCTGTGTTATTATTTTAAGTCTGGGTAGCTGGGAACAAACGAGCAGCCTCCACCAATAGGTATGTAGATCATCTCCAGAGTCTTAGGGGTAAAAGTGTGTGCCATCCTACCTGTCTGGCCTTATTTTTAAATAAAGAAGGTTGTTGACCAATAGTATATATAACATTTGATAAGAAGGCTAAAAAATTTTTCAATGATACTTATTAGCATTTTTGTTACTACTCTAAATAAATAGTGATTATTCTACTTTTTTAAAAAAATGTATACCTTTCCCATTGGCATCTTGAGATAAATCTGAGCAGGCTTTAAAGTAAGATTGTACATATTCTAGAACTTACACTGGAGAAGACCCAGCTGGTTCTTTGGATTTCATGTGAGCATATTAATTGTGGATGGAAAATATAGCCCTCCTTTTGAAACTTCTGTTGTTTATGGATGTGTTTGAGTTTGGGATTTAGCTGATCTTGATGCATCCAATGTGGTAGAACAGGAGGAAGAGTCATGATGGAATAACAAACTCTAAGAAATCAAAAGTAAGAGTTTCACAACAGGCCATTGTTTTAGGACATACTGTATCTCTTCCAGACACTGGCCTCACAGTGCCTTTTCATCTGTTCCTCTGTAATAATTCAAGAATGAAAGCTGGTTCATAGTGATGCAGCTAAGAAAGCACCATACAAACACAAGAGCAGAAATATACATATAACAAAACTGACCTTTATGTCAATAAACCAAGATCCATACCAATGCAAAGTATTCATCTCTATATCATATCCCCCTTTATGTGTAAACAAACATTTATAAACAATATTTGGGAATTGGGGCATAGTTCTCTCCAAACTACTTCCTGCTTTTTGATGGGCAAAGTATTTTGGGGGCGGAGAGGTTCATAGAGACCTTTCTGGGGAGGTCTTAGTTCATCAAACCACATTAGTCTGGAAGGAATCACAGGTTCTCATTCTCTGTAGAAACAAAAACAGAACCTCTTTTCCAAAGTAACATATCCTTAGACCCAAATTTTGAAGTCAAGATACCTTTAAAATATGTTGGTTTAGCTTAGAAGGCTGTACAATAACATGCCTCTTTTACTCAGCTCATTTACAGTCAAAAAATTTAAAGAAAAACAATAATATGCATAATCAGATTCTCTGTGTATTTTTCATCTTTACGTGGATTATTTTTCTTTACTCCTTTAATCTATGACTGTCTGTACTCTGCCTTTTTAAAGACTTTACTTTTTTTTTTTTTTTTGGTTTTTCGAGACAGGGTTTCTCTGTAGCTTTGGTGCCTGTCCTGGAGCTAGCTCTTGTAGACCAGGCTGGCCTTGAACTCACAAAGATCCGCCCGCCTCTGCCTCCCGAGTGCTGGGATTAAAGGCGTGCGCCACCACCACCTGGCTAAGACTTTACTTTTTTTAAAAAAAAAATTTACTTCTTTTTATAGCTATTTTTTCTCTCTCCCATGCCTACATACATTTATCCAATACTGTGGCACATTTAGAGGTCTTTTTCATCTGAGTTTGTCTTTATTGTGTGTGTATCTGTATTTTCTGATCAGGAGCACTTTTTCTTTTAATGCCAAGCGGGTGTGGCTAGCACCAACTCTGAGGTCCTGCCTGTTGAGTCTGCCCAATCCAACATAGCAGAGACATGTTCTCTGCCTCTGAGAGCCATGCACACTGCCTCAGCTCTAGGGTCGCAGCAGATCTATGACACCATTAAGCAATTTGTAGCACACTGCTCACAGATCTCATTTAAGTGTTTGGCCTCTTCCTGAAAGAGCCAGAGCTATTAGTGCTGCCAGCATGAACCAGGATGCAACTGTTTCTTATGCTGAATCAGTAAGCCTTTTCTTAAAGGAGCCATGGTGCCCCTGTTTGCCACCAGCAAAAAGAACCCATCCAAAAAAAAAAAAAAAATATGGCTACCAAGAAGCTGCAGTAAACTTTTTTTCTTTAAGATTTATTTACTTATTATGTGTACAGTAGTCTCAGTATTTCTCTGCATGTATGCCTGCAGGCCAGAAGAGGGCACCAGATCTCATTACAGATAGTTGTGAGCCACCATGTGGTTGCTGGGAATTGAACTCAGGACCTTTGGAAGAGCAGGCAGTGCTCTTAACTGCTGAGCCATCTCTCCAGCCCCAGTAAACTTTGTGTGTGTGTGTGTGTATGTGTGTGTGTGTCTGTCTGTTTGTCTGTCTGTCTATAATTCCTTTTTAAGTTCTCTCAGATTTTATGTGGATGTAGTCAGCTCACGTTGGTGCACCAATTTGTTGGTGCACCAATTTGCAGGTCTGGTCGGCTGCCCAGACCCAAAATTGCACAACAACTATATTAATTACAACATTGCTTGACCAATAGCTTAGGCATATTAACTAACTCTTACATCTTAGATTAACCCATTCCTATTATTTTGTATTTTGCCATGAGTCTCGTGGTTTACTGGTAAAGTTCCAGGGCTTTTGTCTCCTTCAGCAGTTACATGGCCTCTCTCTGACTCCACTTCACTAAGGATGTTTTTTTCTAGTTCCATACATTTACATGCAATTTTCAAGATGTCATTGTTTTTTTACTGCTGAGTAGTATTCCATTGTGTTAATATACCACATTTTCTTTATCCATTCTTCAGATGAGGGGCATCTAGGCTGCTTTTAGGTTGTGGTTATTACAAATAATACCACTGTGAACACAGTTGAGCAAATGTCCTTATAGTGTGATTGAGAATCCTTTGGGTATAGAACCAAGAGTAGTATTGCTGGATTTTGAGGTAGGCTGATTCCCACTTTTCTGAGAAACTGCCTTACTGATATCCAGAGTGGTTGTACAAGTTTGCATTCCCACCAGCAATGGAGGAGTGTTCCCCTTACTCCACATCCTCTTCAACATAAGCTATCATTGTTGTTTCTGGTCTTAGCCATTCTGACAGGTGTACGATGGAATCTCAGAGTAATTTTGATTTGCATTTCCCTGATGGCTAAGGATGTTGAGCAATTCCTTAAGTGTTTTTTGGCCAGTTGAGATTCATCTGTTGAGAATTCTCTGTTTAGCTCTATACCCCATTTTTTAATTAGATTATTTGGTATTATATGATGTCTAGTTTCTTGAGTTCTTTATATATTTTGGAGATCAGTCCTCTGTCTAATGTGGTGTTGGTGAAGATCTTTTCCCATTCAGTAGGCTGCCTTTTTGTCTTATTGACTTGTCCTTTGCTTTACAGAAGCTTTCCAGTTTTAGAAGTTTTCATTTATTTATTGTTGCTTAAAAATGATTAGTAAGCTTCTTGGAACTTTATTTATTTATTTATTTATTTTAAAGATATATTTATTACATATACAGTGTTCTGCTTGCATGTATAGCTGCATACCAGAAGAGGGCACCAGATCTCATTACAGATGGTTGTGAGCCACAATATGGCTGCTGGGAATTGAACTAAGGACCTCTGGAACAGCAGCCAGTGCTCTTAATCTTTGAGCCATCTCTCCAGTCCGGAACTTTATTTTTTATTCTTAACTATATGTACCATATGTGGGTATGTGTATTTTAGTGCTTATGCTTAAAGAGACCAGAAGCATTGGATCCCGTGGAGCTAGAGTTACAGCAGATGTGAACTGAACTGCTGGATGGACATAGGTGTTGCCAAATCAAACCTAGTCCTCTGCAAGGGCAGTTTGTGCTTGTAACTGCTGAGTCATCTCTCCAGCCCAGCTTCTTGAAACTCTAACAAAATATGATTTCATGATGTAATGTCAGGGATGTGTTTCAAAATAGTCTAGGTAGCTGATGGAAAAATGAGTAGGGGTTTAAATGAAATAAGATTGAGTTGCTACCCATTAAAGCTAGATTATGAGCTTGTGGAGAACAGGATTTGAAGTGTCCCATCATAAGGAGTTAGAACTATGCTGGGAGATACAGGCGCTAGATTTTCAGGAACACTGGCCTGGGACTTGTCACTCTGTTGCTTCCTTCAGAGTGTTTAACTTCCCGTTCAATTTTGTTCTTAGGTATTAGCTCGAGAAGACATCGATGAAGCTGTGCATGCAATATTGTTCCGAGAAAACTACATTGTGAAGGTGAGTGGCTGCGCGCTGCGTTCTGGAGAAACACGAGTGGATGCCGTGCTCGGATGCTGTGAAGATTACAAACTTAGGAGAGCAAAGGCTTGTGTTGGCTCAGAGATTCAGGGCATCCTGTCAATAGTCACTTCACATAAAAGCAGGCAACAGCCAGAGCTGCTCACCTCTGAGCTTTTAGGAAGCAACAGGGGAAGCAAGGAAAGTGTGTCAGGATTTTCTTCAGAGGTATGCTCTGGGCAACCTAACTTCTTCCTACCAGTCCTGCCTTCAAAAGTTTACAGCACCACCCCATGGCCTCATGAGCTGGAAACACGAACTAGCACACGAGTTTGGGGGCACGTTTTACATTCAGGCTGTAATATTCTGCCCGAGAGACTCATCTGCAGGCAGAATGAGGTGCCCCTGATTTACACCTTTGAGCTGTGTAGCCCTGAGAGGGTGCCACTCTTTGCAGGATCACTAAAAGGTCCCACATCTTGTATGGATCTGCCCTTAAGGAATCTGAGGGATCATTTTAACTGCTTCCCCCTCATTGACTTGTACCAAATGGAAATTCTTCTCTAACAAAACTTGCCTCTTTTTCCTATTTTTCCATACTGCATTGGGAAATATAAAAATCACCAGAAATTAATTAGCATTTAAGGGTAATGATCAATTAAGTTACTAATAATTACTATTGGATCAACAAACTTTAAAGGCATTAATTTCCACCTGAAAGATAGCATTATAATAGTACTTTGACATTTTTATTGTGATTTGAATTTACAAAGTGGACATTCATTCTCTCTCTTAGCATAGTTTATTGAGTACACTGTAAGAGTCAATGGGCCAGGCAGTAACTAAATTACTTGCCCATAAATTCTCATTTAAGTATCAAAAGCAGTCTTGGGGTTAATGCCTTTCACAGGTCAGGGAGCAGCATAAAAGCAAGTTCAGTGTCCTTGTTCTTCCAGATCCAGCACAGACCTTGTGGTTGAAAAGCTTAGATAGAGAATGAATGTCTGGGCAGCATTTTAACCAGAAATGAGAATCTGGTGAGTTAGGGAAGGCTTCATTGGGTTCATGAGTTGGATAACAGTTTAACTCGAAGGTGCAGTATGATTGAGAAGTTTTCATATTTTCTTCCTGGCCTGTGTTTTCAAGTTCTCTCTCTGAAGTTTATTCTGCGTTCCAGTTATTTGGAGTGAGGACTAGGCCACATGAATGGGAAAGCTTAGGAATGGGTGTTTTCTCCCTCACTAGCACAATGAATGAATGGGAAAGTTTAGGAATGGGTGTTTTCTCCCTCGCTAGCACAATGACAGGAATAACAAGTGACAATAACAAGTGACCCTTGTTGTTTATGTTACTTTGTCAGAGAATGGATACATATATTCAGCATCAGGCTGTTTTGAAGGAAAGAAGAAAAGAGATGTTACATAAGAAATGGGTTGAAAATGTAGTACGGCCTCTTCAGCAGAGAATTATAGAAAAAGTGATTTCATATAGAAAACCTGGACAAAGTCAAGTGAAATATGAATACTGCCTAAAGCACACGAGTAAACCGGTTGGTACTGGATTTTATTGCTTCTACGTAACTATGACGCCATTCTTGTTCTTGTCCTCCTGTTGTTTCCTTCTCTGCCCTGCCGTGTCTGGGTCGTTCCATCGTTCTCAGGTGTGTCTGCTGGCGCTCACAGCGTCAGGTGTTAGGTGTGCATCAAGGTAGGGAGAGAGGGTGGTGCCAGGACTCTTTGTACCACTCCTTTTATCAGAAAACAGAGCCTTCAGCATTCCCTAGGCCGACCTTTTAGCTTTCAGTCTTACCAGGACTGGGTCAAATGGCAAGTCCTAGTTCAGAACAGGGCCGGGAGAGAGAGTTCCAATCCCTGTAGGAGGAAGTGGGTGGGGAAGAAGCAGACTGCATTAACCTCAGGGACAGACCGTTCTTATCTTCGCTGTCTTGACAGAACAGCACCATTCAGTGTCTTATTTTGAAGATGTCTTTCACTTTGAGGTCAGGAACCTCTTCAGGAATTTATGCCCTCCTATTTTGCAATATCAAATTTAAGTCTACTGGCTTTAAGTGTCCTCCTATTGGATTTTTACTGTTTGGTTTTATGGGTCTTTCAGCCCCAGGTATTTGCTAAACTGTAGAACAGTTTAGACAGAACGTTAGAAACACTGGGTATCATCAAGTATATTTATAAATAGAATTTCAGAAAATGTGCATTAACTATTAATTCCCAAATGTCCTAAGAGGTGGAACTCAAGATGTAATCCAAGTGTGTTGGAATCAAGGAGTGTGATCTTTCAGGGTTGTAGAAGTGGAGAAAGGCTTATGGTTGGCGGGAGATTCCTTTTAAATGGTCTCAGTGCCTCCCTGACACAGGCTTACATTCCTTAACCCCGCCCCTCCCCAGAGCAGTGGGCAGTGTCCCCGCCCACTGGGAGAACTTTTCCTCCCAGACTGGTTAGGAACAGTGTTTGTGCTCCTAAAGGCATGAACGGGTGCCTCTCACAACCAAGGTGTCACTTGTATGATTTGTTCTAGACTGAGAACGCGTAAGGACCGAACTCGGCCTTGGCGTAGCATGGAATAGCTGAGCAAATAGTATTGACTAAAACAATGGCTTAGTAAAGCTACGAATAGAAGCCGCCTCTTGCACGTGGGTCGGCCCCCTCCGTTTTCCTACCCGCAGTTACAGTCCCTGAAGCATTTCCACCGGAGGCAGCTTCTCCCCCTGCGCTGTGCCTGACTTTATTCCTCAGTCTTGATCATGTCTTTGGTGGAGAAAGGCCTCGCTGACGTTATTTAGGGATAGATTTGAACACTCGCTGTAAACTGCAATGGGGGACTCAAAGACTCTCATTTTCTCCTGTAGACGAAAGCCGATCCAAAGTGTGAGTGTCTGTTCCGTAGACAGCAAGAGCTCCGAGAAGCTAAAGGAACCCGCTACCTGCACGGCACAGGTGCTTTGCGACCACAGCTAAATGTCAAACATCCCCCCACCCCCCGAAGAGCGCAGGGATTGGTTTTACGGAGTTTGATTTTGCTCTGGTGTCTTCCTGTAGAGAAACAGAGCGACAAGCAAAAAGAACCTAAAGGAACCAGAAAGGCTCCCCTCTTCAGCAGATCACCCAAGTTCATGCTCACTTCCCATGGCATCGTTCCCAAAGAGAGGCAGAGAGCCTCTGCCCAGCCTGTGTGGAATAAGCCAGCTGGCACATGCAGGTACAGAGTAACCAGATAAGTCAGCCTGAGCTCTAGGGGTTCTCCCAGAAGAGAACAGAAAGAGAGCGTCTAGGGGCCAAGGGTGTGGAAACTGTTGGTGGTTGTTGAACCTGGGTGGTAGATTCAGTATATTTTTAAGCGTTTATACCAAAGTCGTTTTTGAAAGCTCTCGTGATCTCTGTGTTAACAGAACAAAGTCATAATCGTCTCAATAAACAAAGAATCAAAATAAAAAATCTAGCCACACCCCCAAATTAGCTCATAATTAGAGAGATAGAAATTAGCTTACTTAATTTGCAATAGAGTTCTAGAAATCATAGAGATTTCAGTGAAACGCTAAATGTTTTCCCCGTGACTTCCTGAGTCAGATAAAGAAACTCACTATTGCCACTTCAGATTTATGCCAGAGACCTTAATTAATAAGAGAGGGGAGAGAAATAAAAGGTAAAAGAAAAGGGAAACAAGAAAAAAACCCTTCCTTTTTAACAGAAAATCTGAAGCTCTACATAAAAAACTCAAAGGCTATAAATAATTTTTGTTTTGTTTTTATTTTTGAGGCAGGGCTTCTCTGTACATCCCTGACTGTCCTGAAATATAAATAAATATTAAAAATTAAAAGTTGCAGTGAGGGACTCAGGAGCCCCAGCCCCTAGCTAAGAGGTTATTGACAGTTGATGGCTTTTAGAAGAGGGGTAATAATTTTTTCTTGAGGGTGTGTCCCTTAGTAGACTGCCTGTTCTCCAGCGCCTGGCCCCGCTCTCATGAGCACATGGACAGCACAAACTGAATCTGGTGGGCTATTAAAAAAAAAAAGAAGAGGACATGAAGTTGGGAGGGGATGAGGGATGAGAGATGGGGAATGAATCTGGGAGGAGTTAGGGGAGGAACGAGGGATGACTATGACCCAAGTACATTGTATACATGTATGAATTCTCGAAGAATCCATTAAAATATTAAAAGTAATAAAGTTCAGAAAGATTATCAAGTACAAAGTCAATACACAAATCATTTTACTTTCTCTCTATCTAACCAGAAAATGAAATTATGTGTGATAGTAACAAAAGAAGCATACCTCTGGCCGTCCACAGGACCACAGGACCTTATACATCATTTCTCATACATGGTACTTATTGGTCTTTGAGACCAGAAAATTCTTTGTTTAGGTTTTTCCGCAATATCTGTCCTCTGTCCATATGGCCTTGCTTCCCTGATGATGAGTCCTACCTCCAAATACTACTCTGAAGGCAGAATCAGACCTAATTGAGAGCTACTTTAAGAGGAATAAAGTAAGAACTAAATTAGCCAGGCAGTGGTGGTGCATGACTTTAATCCCAGCACTTGGGAGGCAGAGACGGAAGGATCTCTATGAGTTGGGGACTAGCCTGGTCTATGGAGTGAGTTCCAAGACAGTTAGGGCTACACAGAGAAACAAACAAACAGATAAGAACCAACTGAACGGGAAGATGTACCATGCTCATGGATCAGAGTACTCAAAATTAAAAACATGAAAAGTTCTAAAATCTGTCCATACATTCAGTTCAATCTGAATGAATCACAGATATTTGTCTGGAGTGTGTATGTATGTGTGTTTATGTGTACATGAAAATTGAGCTAATTCTAAATTTTATAGGACTACTTTATCAGGTATTAAACTGACTTAAAAATTGTACCAAATCAACAACTTGACTTACAGACCAGGCTGGCCTCGAACTCACAAAGATCCACCTGTCTTTGCCTCCCAGTGCTGGGATCAAAGGTGTGCATCAACATACAGCCTGGCGAGTTTCTTTTACTTTTAAGAGCTTTTTTATTTAAACACTAACAATGACATAACTTCTCAGTGGTGGAGAGGCCTTTTCTTGCTCTTCCCCCCCTTCACCCTCCCTTTCAGCCCCTCAGCCAGAGCTGCCACAGCTCCTCTAGCCTCGCTTTAGTCTGGCCTCTCCCACCTAACAGCTTGAATGATCACTTCCCAGTGGAAGGCTTTCCAGTGGCCTCCTCTAATCCTCTCAGCAGAGTCGGGTTCCTTACAGCTGTTGAGACACTGCCTGACACCCCTCACTCCCACCCGCCAACCCTGCTACCAGCCTTGCTAGAAGGCTTGAAAAATCCCCTTTCCTTAAAGCAAAGAAGTACATACTAGCCCCAGAAATGTCTGGATAGAGCCAACTGTTTACAATTTCCCGATCTGCCAGGCTGTTGTGCTTTTTGTTCCCTGTTGCCTGGTATCCTAGCCCAGGCAAGTATGACATCTCATCTCGCAATAGATGACGAGACTGCTAGATGAATAAGGGTGTCGGAATAGGCAGCAATGGCCGTGACTCTGCCAGGCGTCCAGAGGGCGCCCTGTGTAAAGGAAGGGAAGAACTAAAGAGCAGTACGCTAGGTTAACCAGGGGCAGTTGATTGCAAAAAGCAGAATCTTTCTCAAGTGGAAAAGGAGAGAAGGCTAGATACATTGGAAAGTCCCCGTATATTACATAACCAGCAAGAAAGCCAGGCTGCTTGAGGGACCATGATGCCTGTCGTCTCCTCTGAGACTTCGGGCTCTCGTCATCCCTTCTTCTTGAGGAGTTGCTGTGCCTGTGGGCTTTCTCTGTTCTGCGCATGTGCTGCCTAGTCGATTGCGCTTCTCCCTGACTTCCTGGCCTGAGTACACACACAGGCTGCCTGTGGCCCTTTTCTTTCAATCCCAGGTCGAAGGATCGAGGGTCTGCCTCAGCCACAGCTGGAGAACAGTCCCATGACTCACATGATAGTTGTGTTAGCCAGCTTCATCTGTGCCATTTGACTTAAGAAAGGTTTATTGAACTCCTATTTTGGAAGGAAGAGACCACGGTTCCACAGTCCCTCTCACCCCCAGACCTCTAACTTCATTCTTTAAAGATCCATAGCACACCCAACACCACCACTCTGGACTCCCAGCCTTCCCATACGGACCTTTAGGGACATTATTCCAGCTTGACCAGATGGGCGGGCTCCAGTGATGTCTAGCTAGCCCTTTCTTTTCACAAAACGAATATCAATCAAATTCATTCAATAACTTTTTTTTTCTTCGAGACAGGGTTTCTCTGTGTAGCTTTGGAGCCTGTCCTGGAACTCACTCTGTAGACCAGGCTGACCAGAGATCCTCCTGCCTCTGCCTCCTAAGTGCTGGGATTAAAGGCGTGGACCACCACCACCCGGCTTCAATTGCTTTTGAATTGTTCACGCTGAATTGAGATTCCCCCCCCCCCTGCTTTTCTCCTCAGTACTGAAAAGCTTTGTACATCCCAGTCACATTTGCCTCAGGAGGAGAAGACCTGCAACCTAAACCAGATTGTCTTTGAAAGGCAGTTCCGTTCCTCTAAGCTCAGCCCGAAGAAGAAAGAGGCTGAGAAGAAGGGTCCGGTAAGCTGAGGTCTGGGAGTGGGTCTGAGTGGACGGCACTACAATACCCACTGCCCAGAACAGCCAGCAGAACCTGGCAGAGCACTCCCCTGCGAGGAAGAGGGAAAAGTGGAGGCAGTGGGGGCAGTCAAGTCCTGCAGTGAGATGGTGGGTGGCCTGGTGCTCTGTTCCTCTGCCCTGACGGGCGCTGAGCGTGGAAGGGACTCAGAAACACAGCGTAGGTGGGTCCAGAACACAGGTGCACACCTGTCTTTACAGGGTGAGATCAAGAAGACTGGCCAGAGCCGGTTTACCAGCAACTTCAGCCCTCCTCTTTCCTGAGCCGTCCTGCCTCTTGACAGTTTTCTACCCTTTACTATTCATTGAAAACAGACTGTAACCGGATCGGACATTTTGCTCTTAGCCAGGCATGGTGGTGCACACCCATAATCCTAGCGCTTGGGAAGTGAGGGCAGGAGGGTAGAAAATTCTAGACCAGGGACTGGAGAAGATGGGTAAGCTGTCAACAGTACTGGCTGCTCTTCCCCAGGACCCAGGTTGTATTCCAGCACCCACACAGGGAACTGATGCCCTCTTCCGGACTCCGTGGGTACTGCATGTGTATAGTGCACAGGCCTACAAGCAGGCGAAACACACATATACATGTAATAGAGGCCAGCCTGGTCACACGGCAAGACCCTGTCTCAAAAAACTACCATCATCAGCTACAAAAATTGTTCTTAATTCAGCTATAATAGGTAATTTAAAAAATGAAACTCGAGAAAAAGGGGTGGAGGGCAAAATGAACTTTTGCGTATTTCAAAGGGAATATCCCACACACAGAGTTTTGCATATAGGGCAAAGGATTGCGTGGGCTTCTGGCCTCTTTGTCTCCCCCTTCTCTCCCTTTGAGGCTTAGTCATAGAGCTTAGAGTCTCTGTGGCTGCAGCACATGGCACATGGTTGTTTCCTTATCCCTGCCACGCTGAGAGCTAACGACTCAGAAGTTGTTACATTAATTTTCTTTATTCTTGAGAATCTCATATACATGTACAATGAAATATCACAGATATCCCTGTTTCTCCCAACTGCCTCCAAATGACTCTCAACACAGACCCCTCTCCAAATTCATGTCCTTGTCATTGTCCCTCCTCCTTCTCCATAACTAACATAACGTGTAATTAGTGCTGCCCTTATCTGTATGGTGCTGGGCCCATCCACAATGTGTGGGGAACCTACCACTAGCAACACATTAAAGCAAAGAAAAAGATTCTCCTTCCTTCCGCAGTTATAAGCTGCCAATAGTTCCTCAGTAAGACATGGGGTCTGGGCATCACTCCCCCCATCTATGCCAGATTTCTGGCTGAATTGGCTTTAAATACCACAGCTGCTGTGAACTCATGAGGGCGACAGCCATGCCAAGCTCACAACGTGATTACGGAAGTTACAAAATAATCCCATACTAGTTCAGAATTATGTATAATAAAGGGTTATTTATTAAGGTGGGGGAACTCGAACTCATGGATCACTGTCCTAGATCACAGTCCTCTGCATGAATGGGGAACAGGAACCAAATCTAGCAGCTGAAGCGAGAACCGGAAGCAAGAGAACGAGTGCACACTTTACAACTTTATTTGTATATAAGAGACCACGCCCAAGTGTGCTGGGATCTTAAAGGCTATTGACTGAAGGAGCAGGAGGAGCTCCCACAGCAACAGCACTCCTCCCAATTATCAATCAGACACACAGACACACACACTTTATATATATATATATATATATTCAGAGGGACTCACTATGTAGTTCTGGCTGAACTCGCTCTGTAGACCAGGCTGGCCTCAAACTCATAGAGATCCATCTGCCTCTGTCTCCTGAGGCCGTACCATTATGTCCAACTCTTATATTCTTCCTACTTCCTTTTTCTCAGTGTCCCATGAGCCTTGGTGGTGGTTGGGTGGGTATACTGAGAATGATGATCCTTCTAGGACTGGGCACTAAGTCTCTTGGTCTCAGTACTCAATCAGATGTTTTGTGCCCCAGCTCCTCCTCAGTCATGATGTTCTCAGTCTCCTTAGAAGCAGATTCTCCCTCCAGGAAGATGGAACCATTCGATATTGAGATAGGACATGGTCCTCTCCAGAGCTCACACTCAACTGTGCTCTGGAGTTACCAAGAAATAGCAAATATTTAAGTTAGAGTTTTTGTGTTGGGCCTCGTTCCTTGTAATTCCCAGTCACTGTGGTTCACAAGCCTCAGGCTGGACATGCCTGCTGAGATGGAAGCTTACTTATACACACCCTCATGTCTGTCTGCCTGTCTGTCTGTGTCTATCCCTGTCTCTTTTCACTCTCCCCTCTCTACTTTGCTATATAGAAACTTTTAGTTTGATACAGCCCACTTGTTTTAGGTCCTAATGTGGATTCTACTGCCGTGGTAGGGGAGTCCCCTGCTGTCATCATAAGAGTAAAAACATTTGAAAGAAGGTTTTAAAAGCAATGGTTTGTTTTCTGTTCAAGTACCATTAGTGGGTGGGTTAACAGGTCAACAGACTGTCCCCCTTCAAGACCTTGGGATCTTTGCTATCTTTAGCACCTGGCTTCCAAGGGACTCATTCCTGATAACTTCTTTCTTTCTTTCTTTCTTCCTTTCTTTTTCTTTGGTTTTTTTTTTTTTTTTTGACTTTTCAAGACTTGGTTTCTGTGTGTATCAGCCCTGGCTGTCCTGGAACTTGTTCTCTAGACCAGGCTGCTCTCAAACTCTGCCTCCCAAGTGTTAGGATTAAAGGCGTGCACTACCACCACTGCCCGGCTGAAAAGAATAGATTTTATATCAAGTCGGAGGTGTATCTCAGTGCTTGCACAAAATCTTGGGTTTAATCCCTGTCATTGAAAAGTACACGAACATTTGTATCACTAACACAGCTGGAACAGGAAGAGCATGCACCTCGGTGATAGAACCAGAAACAACTGGGGTCCGAGTCTCAGCAATGTTCCGATCTTACCTGCTTGGCATGCTTATGCGGTTTATTTTGTGGAGGTACTTGAGTGACTTGAGAAATGCTTGCAGAATCAAGTCTAAAAGAACTCTGTCTCCATACAAACCAAACAGAAGTTCCCCGTTACCACCACCCTAGCCTGCTAACATCGTTTTATATGGGACAGGACTAAAGGCAGCACGTGTTTCTTCCTCTCATGTTTTCCGGGCTAGGACCCAGTCACAAGGCTGTCCCTAACTGTGAGTGCAAATGTGCTCAGGAAAGCAGCCCCTGGAGGGTCTGAACACAGCGGAGGGAGTGCTTGGGGACAGCCAGTCACCTCTGCCATACCGTTAAGGTGGGTGGCGTTAAAGACATGGAAAGGCTCATCTGAGAACTGCAGAAACCACCAGAGAAGAGAGGCGAGAAGATTGGCAGGGAACCTGTAAGAAAGGATAGAGGGCTTGGGGTGGGGAACGCTCTGGGGAGGGGATCCTTCCTCTCGTGGGAGCCTGCTTAATCAGCATTACATCCAGCCTTTTCTTCCGTGAACAGGTTTCAGGGACCCGACCACAGAGACCACACTCCTGGGCAGCAGCAGACAGCCACCGTTGGCAGGGGCCACCCGCTGTGGGAAGAAGGGTGATGACCGCAGAGCTCCTGGGGAAGCACCTGGACTCCCTGCAGGGGGCAGCCAGGTCAGGCCTCCAGTGGGCATAGAGCTTCCTGCCTTCACATTACATACACATTTAAGACACTGGGAACGTAGCTTATCTCTAGGTAGGAAGCGGTTGCAAGGACCTGAGGAACAGCAGTTAGTTTTCTAAGCCCTGGCTATGAACTAGGAAGTGTGTGTGGCGTTTTCATTTCACTGAAAACACTTGACAGCAAGACAGCTTGATCATCTCCCAGTACTGGGTGCTCAATGGGGCGTTGCGCCTGGCGTGGGGCCAGTCCCCAGTCAGAGATACCAGGGCTTTATTCAAGTTCAGTCCTGCTCGCACTCCAGGGTGCGACTTCGTCACAGACACTCAGGCCTGGCAGTGGGGTTAAATTGCTCAGAGGGAGGATGCTCTATCATTGTGTGAGGCCCCTGGGGGGGGGGGTGGGGGAAACACTGAAGGGGTTTAATGGAACCTCCTCGCCAAGGGGAGATGTCTAGTTATGTGAGGGCTACCCGTTTCTTGGTGGATGGGGTATCTCCTCGCATCCTCTAGAAACTTGGGCTCACATTTCAGTGGGGAAGACAATTTGACTTCCTCAGGGGCAGTTCTGGGTTAATAGGCAAAAAAAAAAAAAAAAAAAAAAAAAAAATGGAGTTGCTGGCTGTACCCTTTCTAGCCATCAAAGTCACATGACTCAGATCCTGAGGGCTCCTGTGACCCAAATCTGATGAAGGTGTCCTGACAGTTGAGAGACAGGGACACTTACTCTAGTGAGGATTAAAGTCCCCACGGGCCTGGGGAAGAGTATGGTTGCTGTGTAGCTATGGGTCACAAGTAACCTCAGAGCTTTAAAGCTGCCGGATTGTCAGGGAGTGTAATGCTCCACACGTGGGCTGTCAGCAGCAACTTTCCTGACTTCAACTCTACCTTGCATCAATACCAACCAGACAAGCTCCCCAAACCCAGGAGAGTGGGCAGCGGGCTTGTCCAGCAGCCTGTGCCTGGTCCTTCGGAGCTTCCTAGAATAAGCGGGATACTGGTTGCTTCAGTTTTATGTATCAAGTAGCAGCTTCTTCCTGTTTTAACCAGTGGGTATGTGAGGTCAGCATCTGGAGTCAGCGAAGGGAAAAGTCTTTAAAATATCAGTCCACTGAACTGTGTGTTCCAAATGACTTAGCCAATTTAAACAAGAATGGGGAGAATGGAAGAGCCCTGAGCTCCTGGCTACTCTAGCTGCTGGAGAAAGATCTGTCACCTTTACTCTGTGATCTTCACGGGAGGATTCTGTGTTCAAAATCTTAGTTACTATTTGAAAAATTTCATATTTTAGTATTCAAAGCCAAATAAGCAGTATGGCTATGGCTGTGGCAAGACAGAGGACAGGAAGTGCTGGGGCTGCTGGAGCTGCAGGGCCGCAGAGCTGCAGGCAGTCCTGACCTCTGTCAGGACTTCACCCTTCCCTGTAGGTTGCCCCTGTCAGTGCCAGCGTAGCTCCCACACAGTTCACCTGCCCACAGCAGTGACCTGTGAAGCCAAACCTCAGGAACCTGAGAGATGCACAGAAGGCTCTGGGCAAGCCAGCGGTGGAGTTAAGTAGATCTCCTGGCCCACCCATCCTCAGGATTCTTTATAAGCAGTTTCAGAAGGGAACTGTTAAAAGCATTTCACACATAGTCAAGCTTTGAGAGGAATTACATTCATAAACGTATACTTTTATTCTCTTTCTGTACATGTTGGCAATGATAAAGCTTAAAGATGCATTTCTATGAAATATGCAAAACAAGGAATTTACATAAATAATTTATACCTCAGAAAATTAAAGTTGAAAAATATTCCCACATTATTTTAGAGTTCACAGTATATTTAAAGTACATCAAGCTTCCCTCCTTATATTTCAAACCGTATTGTCTGAGCAGAGAAGGATAAAATCTAACCAGAATAAAAGGATCAAGTTTCTGTTTATTCAGTGCACAAGTGAATGTGTTCTTCACCCACGGCTGCAGTGCTCTTCCCCAGCCCTTCCCCTCCTGAGTGCTGTGGCCCAGCAGGGCTCACGTGTGTGGACCGGTTCCAGCATCACCGACTCCACAGTGGACACATTGACCAAGTGGTAACGCCCGGTGGTCTGATGCCTCATTTCCACATAATACTTTATAGCCCTGAAAATGGAAACCCTGGCACCTCGCGCAGCTGGACGTTAACACTAGTTACAAGGCACTGTGCTGTGGCGTTTGTCTATAGGAAAGGTCATGTTTGCATAGATGGCTAGCAAGTTAGTGTGCAGGAACATACTGGCCCGGCGTGTGGCTTTGTGATGGATGAAGCCATGTGATGCTCCTCGGCCCAGGAAAACGTAGTCTTCCACTCTTAGACCCAGCCTGTGGGCAGCTCCCCTGGTTCTAGCTTCTCCAGGCCCTCAGAGGAGAGTTTTTTGTTCAAAAAGCTGCAGGTCAAAGCGGACCCAGACTTCTCCAGTGGGGACCTCGTGTAGCAGGAGCCGGCGAGTCGTAGGGCCTTTGCTTTCCTGCTCTGTTCGAATTTTTGCCACTGGAACTTCAGTACGACCCAGGAAGTCTGAGGAATAAACATCACATGAGGATCAAGTATCTTTGTTCCTTCTAAGATTTAAAACCTTGCCGAGTAGGAGAGCCCGAAACAGAATATAGATAGCTTTCAAGCCCTGAGTAAGGAGCTCACTGGTTCATGATCTTTGATACTATGGTGGACAAATGCATGGTTACAGCTCCCCATCTGTTAGTCAACCGGTCAGACAATGTTCTACCCATCCAGTACTCACTAGTGTTCCCCTTATGTATGCAGGGAGTGCCTGTTCTTAGAGACCCTGCCCTCCAGCAAACACCACCTCCTGCCCAAGTGAGCTGACGCAGGCCTGTGTCACTTCCTGTAGCTGTTATGGGGCAATAGCACAGTTTAGGACCCTGGGTAAAGTCCAGATCCCAGAAAACTAGTCTGTGCCGAGTTACACTTACCATCTGGAGAAAACTGGTCTCTGTCGAACACAGTGAGACACAGCACGTCCTGGTAAAGATCCTTGATGAAGAACTGGCAATTGAAGTTCCACTTGGGGTTTAGCGTGTCTTGGAGGGTCCTGGTGGTATAGCTCTGGGAGCCCATGCTGACTTCACAGTATGGATTACTCTTTCCTGCACAGAGACAGGCCAAGGACACACACAGTGTGGTAAGTAAAGAGGGTGACCAGGACAGGAGCTGTAGGCTGCTTCACCATAGACCATGGCAAGAAGCACCACTACCTGTGGGACACATTTATCTTAGAGTTGAGTAGTAGTATAGCCCCGTGTTCCCAATGATGCCATAATCCCGGGGAGCAAGTGTATGTTCTAACAGCAGGACTGCTCCCCACAAGCCTGAGAAGGTGCCAGTGTGACATGCTTTGTGTATGTTCATGCATTAGCAATCAAGATGGGGGATGCTGGTTCTTACTGGGAAACAGTGAGTGATATTGGCCCAATAAACAGCTTATCAGGGTTCTAGCAACACCAGAAACACTGCCTTTTAAAAATTACCCATCATTCCACATTCAAAAGAGGTACCAGTAAAAAGCAGGGTGTTACCACAGCTGTTGAATAAAAGCAGCGCTTACCATTTGGTTTGCAGGCTTTTAATTCTGTAGCCTCAATGACGTGCACCATCAGACGCCCAATACCTGACGTCTTCTGAGAACGTGCTACAAAAGAGGAAAAGAGTCCTGTTAACTTCTCTGAGAACGTAGACAGATACCACAGTGAGGAAGCAACGCTGTCGGGCGGCAGTCTGCTCTCGCACCCCTTGTCTCCACTCTGGAGACTGAACCCCATGTTAGGGCGTGTCCCACCAGCGGCCATGCTTCCAGCCCTCACTGTGTGTCACTCTATCTAGATCATGAGCCCTAGGCCAATGTTGCTGTCATCTGCTACTGCTTTGGAGCTAGCTTCTCCCAGGCGGTGCCATCTGCTAGGGATGCCTTTCTGGCTGTCTTTGTCCATCAGGATCCTATTCCTCCTTCAAGATCCCAGTTAGTCTCGGTCACCTCAGCCTCCTTCCCTCTGTGTACCACTACGGTGTAGCCTTGACTGAGGGGCACCCCACAGATGGCTGGGCCTGAAATGCTGTACCCTGCCAGTCTCCTTCCTCCGCCAGGAGAAGCGACTGTGTTGCGTGGACGGCTTATCTAGGCTTTGTAACCACAAAAATGCCTATGAATAGTAATATTAACTTAAAAATGCATCTGTTTGTTCAGTACTTCTGGCAAATAACATGTACTGGTTACTCCGTATTAGTCATGTGCTAGATATAATATGGATTATATTTAATTCCATAATTGCCTTATCAGGTAGCTCCTGTCTAATAGGTGAGGATAACTGAGTCTTAGGAAGAACCATGTGCTCAACTCACAGGTTTTTAGAGGCCAGGGTTTCATTCTAGCCCAAACTGCTGGCCTTGAACTTGGAATCTTTCTGAATGACTGTTAAATTCAACAGTTTTCCCCTTTTTGCTTTTCATTTTGAGACAGAGACTCACTGAGTATCCCTGACTGGCCCAGATCTTGCTCTGTAGACCAGGCTAGCTTTGGACTTACAGAGATCTGCCTGCCTCTGCCTCCAGAGTGGTGGGTCTAAAGGTGTGAGCCACCCACCATACCTGCCGTAGAGTTTTTAAATGGCAAGGTTAAAAGGAAACATCAGATAGAGTGTGAACCACTCGAGCAAACTTCAATAACACATAAGACCCTGGTCTTGGTGAGCAGTTTGTTTCAGGTTTCATGTATTTAGGGAGGTTCTGATGCTGTTTTAGTGCGGGCAGAAGCGAGTCCTGCGCTCACACTGCTGGCGAACGTGGGGTTTGGAAGCAGAAGGAATACTTGGTGTCTCTGGGCCTGTGCAGCCTTCCCACCTTTCCTCCTTCAGGTTTTTTGGTTTTTATTTTCTGTTTGTTTGTTTTGACAGGTTATCGCTAGTATCCCAGGCTGCCTGGCCTCAGCCTTGAGGGCCTCTTCCTTCAGTTTCAGAGGTGGGCGGCCTTGTCTGTAAGCAGTGCTCTGCTCCCTGATGTCCCCATGTCTCTATTATGGAGCATGCTCTTGTTCCCTGAAGGCAGAGCTTGGCCTGACTATCTCTATAGGCCCCACTGTGTGCGCCGCAGAGCCTGGCACACAGCCAATAACTACGTCTAAATGATTGTACCCACAGAGGATGCAGAGCAGTTCACATAGACAAGAAATTCAGGAAAAACCTTGATTTGCAGTTTTGACAAATTAAGAGATCATTATGTATATTATGAAATGATTCAATCATTGATTTTTCAATAGCAAGCTTTTAAAATAGTATTCATTTAGGAAAAGGCAATTTACACATACCTTCAGGAGCACAGAACAAAATAGGGGAAACCTGAATAAAAAACACACAAAGATCTTCGGCTTCAGCAGCAGGGGCCCGAGTGGGAGCACTGGAAGGGAGGAAGGCAGGGGAGGGGAGGGGCAGGCCTCCACTGGGGAGACAGAAGGTGGAGCCTGGCATTCAAATGGAGGTTGGGGGCTAAAGATGCTTTTCAAAGGTCCTTTAGAACACTGAGCTGGTGGACAATCTGTCCTACAAACAGTGTGACATACAGCTCCCTCATCCACAGGAGTCAGGGGTGACTTCAGAGAAGCAAAATCTGAAAAACAGTGCAGACTTAGCACAGCAGGGCTGCTAGCAGGTGCCAAGGAGGAGCCAGAGCTTCACTTGGGTCTTAAAAGAGTGGGTAGCATCCTAAAGGCAGACCTGCAGCAGGCTGGGACATAGCAATGGGGGAAGCACTGGGAAACGGGCTACGTGATGGGGCAGTGTTGGAGATGAGCCTGAGTTTGGGATGAAAAACTGTCCTTAATTTGGGAGGCCAAAGGGAGGATGCTCAGGCAGGGGGCTGGCATGCAGAAAGGGAGAGCAGTACCGTCCAAGAGAGAAGGCTGCTGGAGCTGCTGGAGAGGGCTTGTCTGGAAGGTTGGGATTGTGGAGAGTAGCCATACCCACTGTTGAGCCTGGCAGAGGTATGAGCCCATGGGAAGGCTGTCTGAGGGGCACAATGCTGGGAGAAGGGTAGATTCCCAGGAGGAGGAGAAGAAAGAGAGCTGAGAAGTCAGAAGAAGGTGTGAAGAGGAGCCTCAGAGTATGAGGGAGTGGGGGAGAGGGTGTGTGTGTAACTACAGGAAGCTAAACAAGGATTAGTTAGGTTACCCAAGCACAGTCCTTGAAAGTGCCATCTACACAGCAATGGGGGAGAGATGTGTGCCAAACAGTGGTGGTGCTGGGGTGCAGGAAGGGCCAACTGGGCCCGGGGTCCTGGAGGCCAGGATGGTAGGGGAAGGGGTTGAGAGGAGAGGGTCAGAATGACAGACCCAGCAAAATGGACTCAAGTGGGACAACAGAGCCCACCAGGGTGAGGTTAATCATTAAGTGGAGGGAGGGAGAAGGAACGGGAATGGCTGCAGAGAGAAAGCCCTGTGTCAGGTCCCACAGCAGGTGGGAGAGCTCAGGGCAGTTTGGAACACCGGCAGTGGGAGTGGAGGTGCCCAGGCTCTCCTGATGTCATATGAACCCATCTCCAGGCTTCACTGCAGGGGCAGCAGCTGGTGCCTCTAGAGCTAGACTGTGGTCTGCCCATCCAACTTGGGAGCTGGTTCCCACCGCTGGGGCACTAGCAGGTACCTTGGTAAGCCTTTTCCCGTTTCTTCTTCTCGGTGTCAATGTATTGCTCTGAGGCAGCCTTGATCTTCTGGACCCAGGCCGTCCTGGAGGAAAAGCAGAACAATAGCCACAAGGACGGCCAGGCACCTCCGTGCTCAAGCACAGCCCCAGTTCCACAGCTCCCTTTCGCCAGCCTTGGCTTTAAGTTTGTATAGCAGGTTTCTAGCTATCACCTAATCTTAGTCCAAGTGATAGACTGGGCTGCTAATTAAAGAGGAC